ATTTAAATGTAATATTTTATAAGATAAAATAATATCTTTTTATTGGAATCGGATTGAACAGTAAAAAAATGCTAAATGAATTTATGATCTGTCCATAATTTTTTTTTCTGTAGTATTATTTATTTCGTTTTAAATTTTGGTCGTACTATATTAATTTTGTAATGCATGAAAAAGCATATATCTTATCTTATGGTGTAAAAAAAATTTTATGGCACATTATGTTGTGAATCCATAATGCATTAAAAGCACATGTTTCACTCACACTCAATATGTAATGAAAATATTTTCAGAGATGGTATGGACTACCATCTTATGATCTTATGATATATATATATATATATATAACTGTATGGCACCATTCATGATATATTTATAGAGAAAATTGCAAAAAAATATATCACTTATACTCTATTATCACTCGCAAAATATATCTCACTTGTTTACAAAAGTCGTTATTTATGTCTTTTGTCTGTGTGTGACGCGTGACCAAATGATAGAAATAGCGAATTTTGCAAACATGTGGGATATATTTTGCCAGCGTCATAAATACATGACAAAAGTGATAATGGAGTATACATGTGGGATATTTTTTGCAATTTTTCCTATATTTATATATTCATTTTCTAATTAGGAAATTCATGATCTCAAATACTGTTCAAATATCTTGATATTAATATATAAATTTTTATCAATATTATTTACATTTGTCTTTTGGTTTATGTTGAGTTTAGGGCATTTGCCCCTAGTTAAAAATGGCACAATTTGACTAACATTTATGGTTTAAAGGGTATTTGTAGAATGCCCAAAACTATTACATTTACTATTATTTTATGAGAAACACAATAATTTATTTACTTGTATATATTTTTATTTTCTAATAATATATAAATAATATTTAGAGGTAGTATTTTTAGGTGTAACGATTTCTCATAAAAATTATTTAAAAAATGTAACATACAGACATTAACACAATATATAATATACTCTCTTTGTACGTTTATAAGGGTTACATTTATTTTTTTGCGTCATTGTATTTAACATTAAAAATATCCTTATATTTGTATAATTTTTTTTTGTACAAATATCCTCCTATTAGTATTATAAGACACTAATAAAAGTATTTTTGAAATTTTTTCTTAATTTGTACTACATTTTGATATAATAACTAATATTTAAAGATCAACATGCAAAAAGTAAATAAGACCCTTAAAGCCGGACGGATATAGTATATTATTCACTTATAAAAAATCAATAATTCATTACAAAATACTATTATTTATATTATCAACACAATTCTCCCTACCTAATTTAAAAAATACATATATCAAAAACACAAAATAAACAAGATTATATTAATATTAACTTCTAATTAATTTATGTAAATTGTGATAAGATTATATAATTTTTATTATTATTTTAAAATAATAAAATTATTGGAATTAGTAGTATTTGAAAATTTAAATGATTGAAATAAATTTGATCAAAGAAAATTTTGTTTATGATGTTTTGGTTCAAGAGCTGGTTTGTTATTATTTGTCATTATTGTTGGAATTAGATATGAAAAGTTAAAAAGTTAATAATTGAAAAGTACATTGAATGCAATATTTTGAAATATGTTTGAATTATATTTATATATAAGTTTTTGTTAAATTTAAATTTAAAAATAAAATAAAATAAAATTGGGTGATAATTAACTTATTTTTTTCTTTTTATTGAAAATAAAGAATTCTTTTAACTCTTTATTTCCTTATAAGGAAAACAACACATTTAATAATATATACTACATAACATATATTTTGATAGTATATTATAATTTTTTTAGGGTAAACTGTTTTTTTAGTCCCGTAATTGGACCCCTTATCATTTTAATCCCGTAAGTGGAGCCTGTCGCAAACTAGTCCCATAAGTGAAAAATTTTCGCTGTTTTAGTTCTCCGGCGCCGGAGATGCCCGCGTGGCTCGCCGGTGGTGACGTGTCCGCCAAGTGTCGCTGACCTGGCGGACACGTGGATTTTTTATTTTTTTTTTCATTTTTTTAAAACTTATTTTTAATTTATTTTAAATTTTATTTGTATATTTTTTTATTTTTTTTATTTAGTCCAATTAAAAAAAATTAAAAACAAACGAAAAAAAAAATCGACGTGTCCGCCAGGTGTCGCTGACCTGGCGGGACACCTGGCGGACACGTCACCTCTGGCGAGCCACGCGGGCGTCTCCGGCGCCGGAGGACTAAAACAGCAAAAAATTTTCACTTATGGGACTAGTTTGCGACATGCTCCACTTACAGGACTAAAATGATAAAGGGGTTCAGTTACATGACTAAAAAAACAGTTTACTTATTTTTTTAATACAATATATTATCATTTCAGTAAAATAAGTATATTATACAACACGATACAATATATGTATATCGTAGCATATGTGAGTAGATAATGTAAAAGACAATAAAGAAGGTGTTGAATAGATATTCCAATAAATGACTTCTTTTTTATTTTTTGGTAATTTAGGACAAATGTTGTTCACTCATTTATATACCAAATTTGTAAACAGCATGTAAATGTTCTTCCAACCAAGTCTAAAAAACTTGGCAGTAATTTATAGTTATTGTTGTCATTGAATTTTTGTCTTCTAGACAGGCCAGAGAGGATTTAATTAAGGTAGGTTTCCGACTCATTTAAAAAAGCGTTCGAGTTTAGTCTCGTGTATTATTGCGTTCACTTATTTTTCAATTATCAAATACATTAAATTATCACTCCGGTGAAAGTGGACTAAATATTTTTTATTTTTCGTTGAACATTGATTTATATTTATTTAATTTTCAATTTTTAAAATTTTAATTTCAAAAAAAAAATTGTAAATTTTAATCTTCATAAATTTTATGTGTATCTTTAATGTATCATTGTGGGACTGAAATTTTAATATATATATATATATATGATTATAGTGTCTTTTACGGTGCGTTTGGCAATTAGTTGATAGTTTTTGGCTATTAGCTGATTCAATTAGCTGTTAATTGTTAACTGTTAGCTGTTAGCTGATTCAATTAGCTGGTTTGACTAGTTGATTCAATTAGCGGTTTGTATTAAAGTGTTTGGAAAAACAACTACTTGACATTAGTTGTTTATACATAAAATGACTATTAAGGACATTGATATGTTATTTTTTAAAATATTTAATTCTGTTTATTTTGGTTTGAAATTTATGAGAATTTTTGTTATTAATTATTAAAAATTATAAAAATATTATAAAATATTTATTTTTATTATTATTATTTAAATTTGAGAAAATTATTTTTACTAAAATATAATAATTTTTTATTGAAATTATGTAAATATAAAATAATAAATCTTTCGTATATATATTTTTATTATGTTAATTATTGTTTTAACATATATAAATAAATAAATAACTTTTATTTTTCTATTTGATTTAGTTTTAAAAATTTATGTATTTTACCGATAAAATAATTTATATGTAATAATTAATAATAGTAATTATTTTAAATTCACAAAAATAAAAATATAATTTAATAAATTAAATATATTAAACATAATTAATAAATACTGCTATAAAAAATATATTTATATGTATAAAATAAATAATTAAGTTTTAAGGGTAAATAAGGAATAACCAAAATTAAAATGAAAAAACTTTTTCAAAATGCTGGTAGATGAGCTTTTCAAAAATTAGCTTTTTGAATCCAAAAAGCTTTTTCAAAAAATTAATTTACCAAATACCTAAATTAGCTTTTTGACTGATCAAACAGCTAAAAACTGTTCAATAAGCTAAAAGCTCTTAAAAATGTTATTTCTCAAACACCCTCTTAGTTTATTATTGCCTCAGCCCCCACAATTTGTAAAATCCCCGTGGAACTATATATGAAAATCGAGGCACATAGTCATAAAAATATAGTAATAATCAACTTGCGGGTTTTTCTCTTTAAATTTTTTACCAATGTTTTTTTATTGTGCAATCTCTAAATTTTTCTTCCAAATTGTTACATTTAATACCTATTTTTCATATAAAATTTTACATTCAGTAACTGTTTGACTTTTAAAAGTATTAAAACACACACCTTTGATGTTTTATCAATGTGGTTCCGTATATAGATGAATCCATTATAAAAAAATAAAAAAAAAAAAAGGAATTTTTTTTAGTTTTGTTTGTGATGTCTCTTATTATTTTTGTCCTTTAATTTAAAATTTATATAGAAATAATCTTTTATATAATCCGAAGACATTGAAAATATCTTCTACAACTAAAATATTATCTCGTTTACTGACATAGTAGCACCATATTGACATGGATTACATCAATATATAAATATATTTATTTCTAATAAATGCAAAAATTAATTTAGCTACGTCAATATTTAGTATTGTAAATTGTCACGTGATTAAAAGACTAAAGTGATAAAAGGTCCAGCAATAATCATGACTTTGTGTGGCGTTTTGATCTAAAATTTATGTTAATAGATTTGTTTATATTATTTAAAATAAGTAATCTTCTCATTATCTAATATTTCATCTGTTTCATATTTATTTATTCATTTATTTTTTTGTACGAATTTTTAGAAATATTAGTATTATATTGAAATATAGTTGAAAGACTAATAAAAAAAAAAGACTAAACTAAACTTATTAGTATTATATGATATAAAAGTAATGGCATTTGTGTAATATATTTTAAATTAAAATGATATTTTTTTAATGTCACTTAGATAGTACAATTACTAAAAAATAAAATTGATACTTTGTTATGGGACGGACCAAAATGAAAAAATAAATAAATTGTTAATAGACGGGAGAGTATTTTTTTACTGTCAATATATTAAATTTGGTGTTAATATATTTATATAATTCAAAATGGATATCAAAAATCAGAGTGGCGCAGCGGAAGCGTGGTGGGCCCATAACTGGCTCTGATATTTGTCGTAATTGAAATTTTTTTACAAAAATAGTTGGGAAGGATAAATACGTCCTTAAACATTTGTAGGGCAAGGAAAAAAGTGGATAAGGCTGTGCTCGTCCCCGCCTTCACTTCCCTCTCGCTGCTTTTTGCCTCCTGCATCGATTCTTCGCAGGTTGAGAAAAATTAAATGGCCTCCGCCGCCAATTCTGGTCCGCCATTTTCGGTGGAGACTTGCTGCTTTAGAAGAAGAAGAAGAGGGACAAGATCACATGTGGTCTCTTTGTCCTTTGTTTTTCTCCATTTCTTCGATCAATCCAAAGGTATTAATTTATAAGTTCTAATGTCTGTCTCAATTCTCAGATCACTTCACTGCATTGACTATCATCCTTTTGATATCTTCGATTTAGTTTGTTTTCATTTGTTTACTTGGAATGTGTATTGCCTGAGTTTTGTGTAAGAAGTATGAGTTCAGAAATGGAGCAGAATTATACATGCATATATATATATATACACGTAAATTGAATGTGTTGGATATATGTATACCTGGCTGAGGTTGGATTTGGATCTTATCGAATATTCATTCAGTGGTCTAAATGCAGTTCTTTTGGTTTGATGGATTTGAATATGTGGACAGAATTTAAATTACTTCGTAGAACGAGCCGAACCAATCAGAATTTAAAGTATTTGTGTTGGTTCGCTCGTTAACGTTCACGAAGAAGGAATGTATTCATTCGATAAGCATTTGAGCCCATTTGTAGTGTTCGAGTTCGGTTCCTTAAAAGCAATTTTATTGTTGGAACTCGTATTCTTGTTCAACTCATTTAAACTTGTTTGAATAAGTATGATGTTTTATTTTATTTTTTAATTCATATATACAATATTTTATTTAATTTTTTAATTAATAATTTTATATATATTTTTTAAAGAACTTTCGTGAACAAAGTTCAGATTCGTTCACTAATAAAACAAGTCTATATATATTGTTCAACTTAATTTACATTTGCGAACGAACTTAAATCGAGCCGAACTGAGCAGGAATGACTCAGTAGTACTTTGGAATTTGAATATGTTATTTTACACTATTAAATGTTTAAAATTACTCAACATTAAGAGGAATTTATTTGAAATCATAGGACAAGTTGTAATATGTCCTGAATTTAGAAATTCAAGTTGTGTTTTTTCTCTAACTCCCTACCTCTCCAAAGTGTCTCATAGATCCATCAACAAACTTACGGCGGCGGCCGCCACGTCGCCGCGGGCCGCACACGCCGGACATTACCCCACCCGCTTTAGGACAACAAAGCAACAAAAGTTGCCATCATCGTTGCGTATGATCAGAAATTGCAGCGATGGAAGTGAAAGTGCAATGGCGACCGAAGAAGAATCCGAGGCACCAATGGAGGTTCCCCAAGGGCCTCCGTCGCTTATATCCGCGCTCAATGTGGAGAAGGCGTTGCGCGGCATTGGTAAACGCCATTTGTCGCCCGTCTTCCAAAATGTCACTCTATGTTCTATATGAGGTTACAAATTACGATTGGTGCAGCCATCACCGACGTCGATCATTATGGGAGACTTGGGCTCAGAAGCGGATGTTCTTACGAGGAGGTCGATGTCGCGTACAAAAACAAAATAGCGGAAGCGACGAACAAAGGGCTGTCCGAGGAAGAACTTGGCAAGGAGCTCGAGCTTCTGAAGGTATCTATGCATGACTCACGACTCGTTATTACAACATCTGCTCGATAAATTTGCCTAAGGTTAGCGAAAGAAACTTCGCAATTAGGAGTGGATCCATATGGGGGCTATCCGACACCAGGCCCCCACCCCCGCCCCCCCTCCTTCCAAAAAAAAATTATATTTTTCAAATCAAATTATTGTAAATCAAGTGGTGAGACATCCTGCGTAATAGTTAAGTCATGGGTTCAATCTAAGGTGGATTGCGTGTGTGTTTGAATTGGGAAAAATAAAAATAATAGAATTTTTAATGGGAAAAATAAAATTACTTTTAATGTAAAAAAGTAATTTTTTTTATATAATTATAGTATAATGTCTCCCTTAATTCTAAGTTTATTACTTTACTACATTCTTCTTATTCACTTGTTGTTGTTGTTGTTATGCAAAGAAAAAAATAAATCAAAGTAGACGGCATTGAATTAATAGAAGTGAATCGGTGTCCAGCCCCTTAAAGTTCGAAGGCCGGTTCCACCACTACGTGTACTTATGGTCAATTATTATTTTTATCCTATATATTTTAGTGATTTGTTGAAGACCTATACCTTGCAAAATATTATGACATTCACAAATTAATAAACAAATTACTGGCATTTTCGGTCCTTAGATAATGAGTATTTTGTAATGTATAGGACCAAAATGCTGTTGAAAAAACTTACGGAACAAGAGTGATAATTCATTATAGACATAGAATTGAATTTGTAATTTTTTGTGGATGGTGAATAAGATGTGATCATGCGTCGTACTTGACCTGTAGGAATCTCACGACATATTATCATCCGTGGAGGAGCGACGGATGTATGATTGGAGCTTGGCGAGGAGCGGTAAACCGGAGAAATATATGTGGCCTTTCGAGGTCGATATCACTCAAACTCCCACCGCCATCCCTCCTCCTCGGGTATCCCTTTCTCTAACTTCTTGTCTTCATATATATAATACTTCTTCCATTTCAATTTTAATCGGTCAATTTTTGTTCAAGATCAATTGTACAAATAGTACAATTTTGATACCTTTTTTACAACTTTACTTCTACTTTTTATTTAAAATATTTTTATAAATTGTATTTAGAAATGATAAAATGGAAAAAAGGCTTTGCATAAATAAAGAGAGATTGCAAAAGTTTTAAACATCTCAAATTAGAAATAATAGTAAATATTTTACGATAAAGGGAGTACATGTGATACGACTATTGTGTGTTTACTATGAATGATTATTTATTATCGACGTATTATTCGATATTGGTTTGTAGGAGCCTGAGGATGAAGGGCCGACGAGGCTGGTTGGATACTTCATGCTGTCTTGGTTGTTGCTATCATTTGTGTTGTATATTGTCTTCAATCGTTGATATTGGTGTCGATTTTATTGTAAAATATTGGCAAAATTAGAAAATATTGGAAACTTAATCGATGGTATATATTAATTCTTATAGCGGCGGATTGGGTACTGAATGGATCAAATCAATATATATATAATGGAGGTGGACGGTCGATGTTTTTGTATAGTTTATATATTGTAATGTGTTGTATAAATATAAGTATTGTGTTGAAATAAATAAATATTGTGTTATGTAAAATTATATTATATTCTGTCAGAATATGTATTGTATATTAATATTGTACTATTATATGTAGACAAATGCACTTGTTTCTTTTTTTTTTTTTGTTTTATGATGTGGAATCTGTAGCCGTTACCCGAAAATGTATACGGGTAAATCCCCGATCGAACCAATACCTTGCAAATTAGGCCCAACAAGGCAAGTCACACTATGCGAACTATGTGTGGCAGGTGGATTTGGAAGCGTTGAGATTTGAATCCATGACATCACGTTCACAAGTTTATTCCCTACACAATTAGGTCATCCTTTACGGGACTACACTCATGTTTTATACATATGGATTCCGGTGTGTTTCTTTGGTATTAAAATAGTTTTTAATATGATGTTTTGTGAGAGAAAAAAATATATTTATTTTCCAAAAATATAAAATTCAAATAGTAAAATTTGAAAAAACTTAATTAACGAAAGAAACACGTATTGTTCTATATATTGTATATACAACTATGTAGTATATGTGTAACTATTGGAGAATTAGAAACGCTTGTTTGTTTAACAATGTCACAAATATTTAGTAATTGTTGGTCCAAAAGGATCATATTTTTATGCTTTAACCTATTATTAGTGGTGGTAGATGAATTATGTTTTAAAATTATTTGCAGTCATTACCATAATTAAATTTTGGCTAAGGATCATGTGATGATGTTATGTTTTAATGTTGAATCTCATCATTAAATCAACAAAATTACATTTTTAGCCTTCTGTTAAATATGCTAAATGAGATTAAAGGTTGTGATTATCTCTAGCAATGCTAATTTTTATGAAGAATTGTTGAATTGAAAAATATTCGGTGAACAAGCTGATTATTTAAATTTAAAATTCAAATATATGATTATTAGATATTATATAAAAAATAAGTATTAAACATAATATTTTTTAATAATAAATAAAATTAGTATAATATAATAAATAAAGAATAAGTAAAAAGAAGAAAAATAAATAGTAAAATTCAATATAATTTAATAACACACTATATGTTACATATGTTACCTTAAATTAAATTTCTAACCACAAACTATCAAAACAAATTTATCCTTATTTTAATAATACTCTCTTATCCTTATTAAAATAAGATTGTCATGGATTTTTTTGAAAAAAATTTCTATTCATAAAAGAAATTTTCTTTTAAAACATAAATCATTTATTCTGATTTCATTCTTATTTATCTTGTACAAGTGATTAATAAATATATATTATATATTTTTTTTAAATATCATATTAAAATACTATTTAAATAAAAATTTAAATTTAATAATTTATTTAAATTGCTTTCAAATCACAATCAAACTAATTCAAAATTATTATTATTTTTTTTTAATACTCGCTTTTTCCCAAACAAGGTACATTTAATTTGACACGGATTTTTAGATACATATGTGTGTGCGGCACAGGGGTGTGCATGTATATATATACATGTGTGTGTGCGGCACTCCTAGTACCTGGTCAAAGCCCGGGACCGAGGATCTGCTTAGATTGATGGAGAGAAGTATATATTTTATTTTATTTTATTTGGATGACGTAGGGACTAAAGTATGAAATAAAGATTAAAAGTGTGTTTGGTCGAAGGATTCCATAGGATTTGTATTATTCACACAATTTTTTCCCAAAAAAGTACCAAATCAAACACTTATTTTTTTATATTATTCTATAAATCAACTTTACATTCAAAACATCACATCAATTAGGGGTGGGCAAAAAAATCGAACAGAACCGCCGAACTGTTTAATCGAACCGAATTTTCGGTTAACCGAGCAAATTCGGTTCGAATACAAATACTGCATATTTGATAGTTGCTCGGTTCGGTTCGGTTTCGGTTTTTGATATTTTTTTCGGTTCGGTTAACCGAACCGAATATATTTATATATTTATGTTATTATATTTTTATTTATATTAATAATTATATTCGATTCGGTTTCGGTTCGATTACGGTTCGGTTTCGGTTCGGATATTTGAAATATTTGCAAATATTTTGATTTAATTAGAATTTTAATTATTTTTTAATATATTATTTTTTTTATTTCGGTTCGGTTCGAATTATTTGCAAATATTGCAAATATTTTCGGTTCGAATACGGTTCACGGTTTCGGGTATTTGTTCGGTTTGGTTCGGATATCAAATACCTGCATATTTGCAAATATCCGAACCATGTCCACCCCTAACATCAATACTTATTTATATCACATCATAAAACTATTCAAATTCAAAATTTTTACTATTCAAATCTCAATATAAAATTCAAACCCCCAAACCCAAACAAACGACGTCATGGTCACAAGTTCATCTCCACACCACCAAGTCATCCATTAATAACTAATTATTTCATATCCCTCCGTCCCACGTACCATGTCCATATTGCCGTTTCTGTCCGTCCCACATACCATGTCACTTTTCTTTTTTGGAAAATAATTATACATTTTAATCTTATTTAAAACATTTTAATTTTTTTAAATTTTAATTAAACTAATTAATTATCTTAATCTTAATTTATTATAATTATTTATATTATAGGATAATTATTTTTATTAATACATTCTTAATTATCTATTAATTACATCCCTTTCTGTCTACAAGACACGGTATACTGAGGAAGTATTTTGAAAATGTTGCAGAATATTTGAGATATACCAAAAAAAAATATTACATAATGTTTGGGAGAAGAGTATTATTCATTTGTCCGCCAAAATTATATTCAAAACTTTTAAGCGGAAAAAAAAAAAAAAAAAAGTAAAGTGTTTAATATTATTTTTGTACTTTTATTTAAAAATAAAAATATAATTGAAACTTTTGTGAAATTAATATATATTGGATGTTAAAAAAGAAAGCATAAATATAAATAAATATAAAAATAATGGATAAAAATTAAAAAATATATAAATATTTTTTTACTATAATAAACAAAAAGAAAAAAGTAAATTAAATTTCAATTTTATAGTATTAAAATATCAATACATATTTATAGATAATTATTTCAAAATCGTTGTATTAAAAACTAAAACAGAAAAATCTATTTCTACGCAAAACAAACACAGGGGCAGATGTTTCTCGGGACGACGCTGTCGAAGTTCAAATTAGGGCACTCTGTCGATGAAAAATAATAACTATTGCTAATCATCCTCGGACGAAATCTTTCGTGTCGCATCGCAAAATAGGCCAAGATTGAGACCCAGTCGGAGACTTTTAGTCTAATTACTGCTCCGGATCGCCTCCATTGCCGCCGATCGTCTCCGATAAGGTATCTTCTCAGAACTTGTCACTGTCCCCATTTAGAGATCTAATTTGTTTCCGTATGCGAAGCTTTTGTGTCCATATTTTATGAGATTTAAGACAATTTTGCGGAGAGATTGGAGAAACCGGGTGTTGTTTATACTTTTTATTTTTTCTCGTAATATTTGGGTGAAATTTGCGGGGTTGTTAGCTAGGGTTAGTGAAGCTTAGAGCTTTTTGTCATTGCGTATGGAGATTTGGTGTTTTTGCTTGTGTGTGCTTCGGAAGGAAAAGAGGGAAGGTGATATTGTTAGTATCGGTTGTATTTACATTCTTCAATTGCAGTATTAAGGGGAAAGGGAAAACGAGAGAGAGGGTGGAACAGCTGAAATGGAGAATGATGATTCTGAGCTAGGGTTTCAGGACTTTTGGGGCAGTTTTACTGGAAAGAGATATGGGGGTCGCAAGAGAGCTATCCATCATGAGAGAAGCGAGAGTTCTGATTATGATGATGAGCGTGAAAGTGTGTTGATGTCTATGAAGGAACCAAAGCCAACACATTCTTCAAGTGGAGGGGTGAAATTTGGGTCGGTTGGTGAGTCTTCCTGCTCATTCAAGAAGATTGTTACAGTCAGAGATGATTGTGAGCGTGGCGGTAGGAATAAAAAGCTCAAAATGACCTCCTATTCGACGTAAGCTCTCTCTCTAGAAATGCCTGCAGGTGCTGTATGATGCACTTATCCAAATATGATCGGTTATTAATTCGTTTTCGTATGCCTTTTCTTAGGGCTGTCCATCCAAACCTTATAAATATATCTTGAATTATGATTTTTTTATTAGATCCCTCGGAAGTGAGCTAATGTCTTAGAAATTTGTGTACTTATTCAAGTTTAAATGATATATTCCGCCTATTTCTTTGATCTTTAAACTCCCTCACATACCTAACTTTCATCTAAAGCGCTAAATGGCGCACTTCCTTGCATAGTTCTCTGTCTTAAATGTGAATGCCATAGTTAGAATCCCAAATGTTTGATACTGACTTTAAAACTACTTGGAGAATATAATCTAGTCACGGTAATGAGTTTTTGGATTTAGTCAAGTAAATTATTTTCTAATTGTATTTTCTTCTAAGTTTTACTTGAATAAGTAGCTTGAAACTTTGCAGAAAAACTATATTTAGCGTTAATGTTAGAAGCTGTTTATTTTTAAGTTGGGAATAAGAATCCTTTGAATTTTTTATTAAAGTGAATAGCTTCTTAAAAGAGTCCTTTGAACTTTTTATTTGAGTTAATATTAATCCAAGCAAAAAACATAACAGAGGCCTTATATGTTTATTATAATTATGTTGTACTAAATCAATAACAATTGATTTTGGTAAGCACAATATGTTTGTTGGATACCACACTGTTGAGAACAGCACAAGATGAGCCTAAGAATAGCCTCAAAGTTTTATTTTGTTGGATAAAAAATTCCAGTATAAGGGGTTAGCAGTTAGCCTGTTTTTGTCCCCCTAGTTGTAGCATAAATAGGAAATTGGGGCATTTGGGTAAAGTTATTACTGCAATTTTCATCCTCACAACTTCAATTATGGTCATTATGATCTATTTGAAAATCACATTTTATTTGGGAATTAGGTGAAATATTAGTTTGCGTCTCTAATATCATAGGGTGTATTTGTGAGAGTTTAGTTTTGAGTTTTGGTTTTGAATAGTAAAATTTTGAATCAAAATAGTTGTTTGATGTGATATAAATATGTATTAATGTGATGTTTTGATACTAAAATTTAATTTTAGTGTAATATAATAAATGAAAAATAGGTGTTTGATTTGATGTTTTTGAAGGAAAAAAATTATTGGAATAGTAAAACCAAAATCAAAGTTGCACAAGTAAACACACCCATAGTAATCATGTTCCACCAAAATACTAATACGGAAATCCAATAATCTTAGTTATCATAAATTTGATGATAAATAGTATAAAATATTATTTTGTAAAACTAGGCACTTTTGAAATTAATAGTGTCTATTGTGTATTAGTGGTTGATTTATGATTTTATCTGTTAGTATTCAAATAAGGCTATTGTTGGTTTAAGAAGTCCTGCCTCTGTGCACTAGTTGTCATTAGCAATCATGGTTCTTTGGGTGCACTCTTTTGGAATTTGATTTAAGTTCTTTGACTATGCAACTTTCATGATTCCCATTAAAAGATAAAACAAAATTCCAAAGAACACAATCTATTTCTTTGTTTTTTAGATATATATGCACATTCTGATATGTCTTGTATGCAGGAATGAGCTTACTACTTTTGAAAATGAGATTCACTATCCTACACCAGTTCAGAAGGAAACTGACTCTATGAATGTACTTGAATCTAATGTTATGAACAGTAACACGAGAAGTGACTATGTTGCTCGTAAAACAGACTATTTAGATGCTTCGATGGATCTTCCAGATGACATATTGCATGCAGTAAGTATTACAGATGATTCATGTTAAAACATAATTTATTTATTTTCTGTTTTTAAGTGTTAAGACATTTTCTTAGAAATTAGAATGCTATTTGCTGCAGGTTTTCTCTTTCTTAGACCTCATTGATCTCTGTCAAGCAGCAGGGGTTTGCAGGCAGTGGAGAGACACAAGTTGTCATGAAGACTTTTGGCGGTTTTTAAATTTTGAGAATAAGGCCATGTCTATCGAACGATGTGAGTGTAGTTTAATTGCGATATACTATTTGTTCAACGATTTTTTTATTCATTATATGGCTAAATTATATGACGTTTTGACATAAATATGGATTCAAAGTTCTTTTTGCTATTTGGCTTAAAGAATGCTCAGTGAACACTTGAGCTTATGTGAACTATAATCATGCAAAATCCAACTATTATTCGGCTTAAAGCCTTTTCATTCCTACATGCATATGTTATTTTCTTATCCCATCAGGTTAAGAACTTACTTTTAACTTTCTTCTTTCATTTAGTTGAAACCATGTGTGACCGATATCCAAACGCTACAAGTGTGAATGTCTATGGTACTCCGAGAATTGATCTTCTTGGAATGAGAGCAGTAACTTCATTGAGGTATATACAATATGCATTTTTGTAAGAAGGTTTAACTGTGGTAGTCTTATATTATGAAGCTCTGATTTGTCAGTCTTATATTATGAACCTCTGATTTGTCTCAGAAATCTTGAGAGTTTAACTCTGGGCAAAGGCCAGTTACCGGAGGCATTTTTCCAAGCATTAACTGATTGCCGCATGTTGAATAAATTAGTTATCAATCATGCTACTTTGGGGAGTGGCCCTCAGGAAATACCCATTTCAAATGATAGATTAGTTGAGCTTCACATACTGAAATGCCGTCTGCTCCGCATATCTGTCAGGTACAAAGTTAACCATTTTTGTCTCATTTTGTCCTATTGTTTTTCAACTATATTAATTATAGTTATGGTCTTCTACAGATGTCCACACCTTGAAACCTTGTCTCTCAGGCGTAGTAGCATGTCTCATGCAGTACTCAATTGTCCCATTTTGCAAGAACTTGATATTGCTTCCTGTCACAAGCTTTCTGATGGTGCAATTTGTTCAATAGCAACATCCTGCCCACTATTGGAATCCTTGGATATGTCGAATTGTTCGTATGTGAGTGATGAGACACTTGGGGAAATAGCCCGGGCTTGTAGAAATCTCCGAATTCTTGATGCCTCATATTGCCCAAACATCTCACTTGAAGTAAGATAATTATTCTTGGGGAGGAATGTTTCATGGATATATGCATACATATATATATATATATACAGTTGCTACATCATATAGAATTTATGTTTACTCTGACACATTATTATTTCTTGTAGGGTGTGAGACTGCCAACGTTGACAGTTCTTAAGCTGCATAGTTGTGAGGGCATTACTTCTGCTTCAATGGCTGCTATAGCTTTTAGTTACTTGCTGGAGGTTTGTTGCTATTGTCCATTATCTCATGTTTTCCCGTGATTTTATGGTTTCGACCATAGGTTGCTCATGCCTCATATCATTTACATATCTTTTGTAGGTTCTTGAGCTTGATAATTGCAGCCTATTGACATCAGTATCTTTGAATCTTCCATGCCTGAAGGATATACGGCTTGTACACTGCCGGAAGTATGCCATACTCTTGGACCATCTGCCCTCGACATCAATCCTTTTTATTTTATTATTCAACTGTGATGATTACTTGTGTATCTCTGCAGATTCGCTGATTTAAATTTACAGAGTGGAGGGTTGTCATCAGTTACAATTTCTAATTGCCCTTCCCTCCAGAGAATCAGTATTACATCGAATGTCCTTGAGGTACTTTAATTCATGAATTATTTGTTGGCATGAATTATTATGGAAATGCATTTAAGCTGTAAGCATGATCTGTTTGTAATTTTACATATAATTTTACTTGAATTTACTTGCAGAAATTAGTGTTGCAAAAGCTAGAAAGCTTGAAAGAGTTAGCACTGCTATGCTCTTGTCTGCAAGAAGTAGACCTTTCTGAATGTGAATCCTTGACGAATTCCATTTGTGAAGTTTTCAGCAGTGGAGGAGGCTGTCCTGTAGTGAGGTCATTGGTCCTTGATAATTGTGAGGTTTGTTTTGCACATCCTCATTCAGTTCTTAATCTAACATTTTTGGGCTCCACCCATTAATGAAATTAACTATGATAAAAATAAATTTTCTGCGTTGGTGAATTACATTTTGGTCATTCTATAATTAGTGTCTCTACATGGAGGCTACTGGTATTCTTTTAAGTAATTGGATCTTAAAATCTCAGAGGATCAAGTTTTGTCAATGTTGGACATGATCTGTTTGCTGTCTATTAGCCAAATAAACAAAACAAGTGTTGTTCAATTTGATCCAAGTATGAATTCTGTTGAAAATGGGAAACAAAAAATAATAATAATGATGTAACGAATTTGGAATGGGGTTTTCCACACACAAATTGGAAGTTGTATGATAGAACATTTAACATGTTTATTGTGAACCTATAAATAGTTTTACTTAACCTATTTGTGCCATTGATATATTAGTATGTTATGTATTATAATTTGCATATCTAATTGCACTTCTTACTTTCAGAGTTTGACGACAGTGAGCTTCTGCAGTAAATCTTTGGTCAGTCTTTCACTTGGTGGTTGCCGTGCAATTACTTCTGTTGAACTTAGATGCCCTCAACTCAAGCATGTCTCATTAGATGGTTGTGATTATCTTGAAAGAGCATCATTTTCGCCTGTAAGTTGTCACGGTTATTCCTTTGGTGTTATTTTGTTGTATTATGCCTGTATTTCATGCTTAGTTTAGGCCCATTTTAAACTATTTATATTATTCATTGTTTTATGTAACTAAATTTTCTTTTAAGAAAATATAATGAACTTCTAAATGGTTTTAGAGCCATGTTTTTTTTGCGTAAATCTCGGAGATCCAAAATATACCCAGAGAACCACCTTCACAATCTAAGATCTTTGACCGCATTGCCTCTCGAATTTGACATTCTCTATCACACCGAAAATAACAGTCACACCTGAAAACCTTGAACCCAATTTGATCGCCTTTGTTTGTTGCTTTCTTGATGCATGTGACCTACACTGCCACTGTGTTCTTGACTTTAAAATGACATTGGCCAGCGAACTCTATTGTTAGACACAGTGCATGTGAGCCACCTACGTTGGGAAATGTCTAGTCAACCCAACCAAGATAATGTTTCTGTTGCCATCGATGTTGCCGCAGGTGGAGGCACATCAGGCATCCGATCACCAAAATTTTCCGACATAAGGATACTTGGAATACTTATGACCTATTTGTCAAGTTAGTTTCCTATCTTTGATCAAGTTTTGGTTCGGTCTTCGATCATCTACCAAGAGTTTCTGCCTATGGGTTTACTTTCTTAGGGTTTAACGCCACGTCGCTACCTCTGCAACAGAGGATTGCCACCACTAGAAATCTTAATTTGCCAAAAACTCTAATTTCTTAGGGTTTAGGGTTGGCCGCCGCCATAACAGAGGATTACTGCCACCAAAAATCTTAATTTGGCTAAAACCCTAATTTCTTAATGTTTAGCATCACATCTGCAATATAGAATTGCCGGAGCCGTGATAGATCGCCATCATTAAACCCAAATTTAGCTTAAACTCTAATTTTTAAGGTTCAGTGCTGCCGCTGCAATATAGGATTGCCACCCCAGCCATGACATATGATTGATTTGAATGGTCGAAATTTAATGCTCAATTATGAAATTCGTCCTATTCAGACTCCATCACCCCTAGTCTCTTGCCAAACTCAAGCTAGCCTCTGCACCACCTTAAGTTTGGGGATGTTAAGATATAATTTTAGATAGATATTTTGGTTCATATTATCTAGATTTGGTGGTTATTATTCATGCTTATCTACTAAATTATGTTATTATTGAGCTTATTTCTTTCATATTATGCTTATTAGTAGGCTTTGATTATATTATCAATAAACAACTTTGAATTTCTTCCAAATTGCACCAAGTGTGGTTCCATGCAAAGCAGACATTTCGTTCACCGCAGTCTGATATCACCTTGAATGACCTAAAACCTCAGGCCAAGAACAGGGAACAAAGATGGTATTCTAGACATATTGACAAGCTTGTAACAAGCTTGGATCGTATGATCAGCTTGCAGACATATTGACAAGCTCTTAGAGGTTCTAAATCTAAGTTCATATGTAACAAGCTTGGATTGTATGACTTGTACACTCTAACTTAGAGAGAGAATGTTAGATTAGGCCTGTTATTTATAGTTTAGGCACATTTAAACTATATCTATTTTATTTATTGTGTTGTGTAACTAGATTTCTTTTGAGAACAAAATAAACTTCTACATATTCCTATTGGTGTTTTAGTCTGTTGATTTGTGTTTACCTTATACCTGCCTGTTTGTAACTGCTTGCCATTGGTAGATTGTTCATTTTCAAGGGTTGCTTTTGTAATAACGACACTGAGAAAGTATTGCATATGTACTTTACTCTGGTTTATTATTATTATTATTTTGGTATTAAGTCTCCAAATCTTTGGTAAATCAATGGCAGGTGGCTCTTAGGACCTTGAATTTGGGCATATGTCCCAAATTGAATGTGCTACATATCGAAGCTCCATTGATGGTTTCACTTGAACTGAAGGGATGTGGTGCATTATCAGAAGCATACATCCATTGCCCCCTTCTAACATCTTTGGATGCCTCATTCTGCAGGTTAATCTACTTCAGAAAATGTCTTGGGTTGTTTGGAAACTATACTAACAGAATTAAGTTGGCACTCTTTATCGTTTTTTGGTTCTCAAGTGTAATCCTTTTATGATTGATATATGCAGCCAACTCAAGGATGACTGTCTGAGTGCTACAATATCTAATTGCCCACTAATTGAATCATTGGTCTTGATGTCATGCCCCTCCGTTGGTCCTGATGGACTTTCGTCCCTCCTTGGCCTGCACAAGTTGACTTACCTTGATTTATCGTACACATTTTTGGTAGATCTGCAGCCGGTCTTTTTCTCATGTTTGCACTTGAAGGTAATTCGCCACAATTTTGTTTCTCCGCTTTATTCACCATGTTAGTAACCCACCCAATTCTGTTGTAGACTTGGTAGTACATAATTGATCATGCTTTCTGGATTAATATATGAACCTTTTGTAAAACATGCTTTTTGTTTATATTTACTTTATTTCTAGGTTCTAAAATTGCAAGCATGCAAGTATCTCTCTGATGCGTCGTTAGAGCCTCTCTACAAAAGTGGTGCCCTTCCAGCTTTGAATGAACTGGACTTGTCCTACGGCACACTCTGCCAGTCATCAATTGAGGAGTTACTTGCTGGCTGTATGCATTTAACTCATATCAGTTTGAACGGTTGTGTGAACTTGCATAACTTGGATTGGGGATCTCAACCTGATAAGCTATCTGAAAGTAGTACTTCCGATGCATCGTCATCTAGCCATTATTTTTCAGAAAGTGTCATGTACGAGGGCCAACCTAGCTGCCTATTGCAGAACCTCAGCTGCGTCGGTTGCCCAAATATCAAGAAAGTGGTTATTCCTCCCACAATAAGAAGCTTCCATTTATCATCGATAAACCTTTCTTTGTCTTCAAATTTAAAGGAAGTTGACATATCTTGTTGCAACTTGTTACTTCTCAACTTGAGGTATGTGTTATAATACTCACAGTTTTCCTCAGAGCCTGAAACATTACTATCACCCCCCCACCAACCCCCCCCCCCCCCCCCCAATTGTAATTTCATTTTGTTTCGACTCTATTTGCAGCAACTGTTACTCGGTGCATATCTTGAAGCTCAACTGTCCAAGACTGACGAGTCTTCTGATTCAAGTATGACTTTTTGTCTAATTCTTATGTACTTCAATAGATGCAACAGTTTCCATTTCTGCTTACAGATCTTAGTTAATATTTTATCATTTATGTCTACACTTTGGCTTTAAGTTTTACAAAAGAGCTGAAAAAAATTGATCTTTTTGTCGGGGTAGTGGGAACTTATTGGTGTGTTTGTCTGGGAGTTTGGATTTTGAATTTGAATAGTTGTACGACATGATATAAACAGGTATTGATATAATGTTTTGAATGTAAAATTGATTTTTTTTATAATATAAAAGGTGAAAAATAGGTAATTAGTTTTGATGTTTTTTTAGTGAAAAAATTTGATGAATAGTAGAATTCCGGTAAAGTTCGCCAAACGAACACATCCTATGATTTTGAAAATGCAGGATGTGTTAACTTTATATGTACTTTACAAAGATTTTGTCGACATAACATTAGGATTCATTCTACAGCTTTTAGGCTTTGCTACATTACCTCCGACTCTTCGCTAACTGTTGAGATTCAACTTCAATCTTGTTTGTAACCAATTGGGTATCTTTATTTATGTAGTCCTGTAAAGTCGACGAGGAAACTGTTGAAACAGCCATTATGCCATGCCACATGCTGGAGACACTCGACGTCCGCTGTTGCCCCAAGGTGAGACAGACGAACATCATTTCATGTTCTTTCTAAATCACAAATCTTCTCATTGGGAGTCTGATTGTTTGTTTCGCTCGACAGATATCTTCATTGAGCAATGGCACCTTTCGCAAAGCTTGCCCGAGTTTAAAGCGCATATTCAACGGCACATTCAACGGCGCAGCGCCGTGAGACAGAGAAAAATAAAAGGCATGCACTCTCCATACATCATCTAGAATTGGGTTATGACCCAATATATGATTTATAGATTGTTTTTTTTTTTTTAATGACGTGGGAACCGACAGCTGCAACTACGGGAAGTTGTCATTTGTGATTATACTTAGCAGTGATTGTATGTATGTATGTATGTATGTATGTATGTATTGGTAGGGTTAAGAGCTTCTTTGCACACATTTTGGTGGGAGATTTTCAGAATTGAGTGCTACTTATTTATTTCTAAGCCAAAGCCAACTTTATTGAACTATGAAATGGCTTTAGCTTGGGTGACTACTTCATTAGCCATATTATTATAAAGTTAAATTGCATCTATAATGTGTTTTTAATATATATATAAGCTCCTTGAGTCCTAATTATTTTGTCATTTTTGTATGTCGAATTTAAATATATATGTTTTGTTTTTTAAGTAAATTTTTTTTTTTTTACTTTAATAAAGAATATCTATGTATTTTACACAATAATGCTCCTTTTATTGTATTATTATCTATAAAATATTATTATATTTAATTTTGTGTAAAGGTCAAATGGATATACAAAATTGAGATGGATGGAGTATAATCTGACATTTTTTTTTTGTTTGGACTGAAATTGTTTTTTTATCATTTTTGTTTGTCTTATTTAAAATTATTTTTTTATAATAGAAGTAATTATATACTTATTATTAAAAATATATTTATTTTTCTATAGAAATTATAATTATATCATTACATTATATATGTATTTATTAATTAATAAAATCTTATTATTTATTACATTTTAAAATTATCACAAAAGTACATGTATATTTTGTTAACATAATTATGATCAACTCATTTGAAATGGTAAATATTGTGGTTTTTGTTAAATATTGTGGTCTTAGTTATTTAATATAAGATTTCTTTCATTGGTAAATATTGTGGTTTTAGTTATTTTGTATAAGATTTAGTTTATTTCTTCCATTGTTTTACAGAGAATGTGTTTGGTTTGTGTTTAGTATTATATTTTGATTTTCTTTTATTTAATACATTTAAAATATAAACCAATATAATCTATAATTAAATTCAACAAAGTAGTGCATTAATTGAATCTGATTTTTTTTGTAAAAATAAAATTGCATTTTCTATAATATATATAAAAAATCGTGAGATTGTGTTTTTGGAGTCTGATTGTCTTTTTGTTTAACCAATTATTTAAATATGATCATTTTTGAAAAGATGCCTATTTTTATAAGAATTGCAATAGTTATATATTAAAATAAAATAAAATTCTAGAAGAATAAAATCGCTAAAGAATAAAAAAAAAATAGAGACTTAATTTTAAGGTTATGAGTCTCAGACTTGTCTACTTAGCTACTACTAGAGTTGTTGAATGGCTCGATTCGGCTCAGTTAAAGCTCGTTCGCGAACGTTAACGAGTCGAGCCGAGCCGAGTAGTATAAACAAGCTCGTTTGATTAACGAACGAGCCAGAACTTTGTTCGCGAACATTCGTGCGAACGTTCGTTTAAATAATATATTTATTATAAATATTATATATACATACAAAATTATAATTTATAAATAAATAAAATATTAATTTAAAATATATAAATAAAATAAATTTTAATTTTTCTTTGTAATTCATATATAAATTTTAAAAAATAAGACAAACGAGCTCAAACGAGCTTAATCGAACCTAAACAAGCCGAATACGAACACAAGCTCAAACAACAAAAATTTTTAACGAGCCGAACTCAAAACTACAAACGAGCTCGAAAGCTTAACGAACAAACACGAGCCTTATTCGCGAACGTTAACGAACATTTCAAATTTGACTCGGCTCAGATCGTTAACAGCTCTAGCTAGGACTTTTATATTCAAATTGAGTATCATAAAAATAAAAATAAAAACAACAAAAACAAAAAACAAAAAACAAAAAATTGAAGAGAGAAGAAGATAATATTAATATTTTATATAAAAATTAAATTAAATTCAACACATGATTCATTCTTAAAAATAAATAAATGTCTTAATATATATAGGTTATTGTTCCAAAAACACTAATTATGAATATGAATAATTAATTCTCAAACAGTATTGAGCTGCTCAAAACAAAAGAAAAGTAGAGTTAAATAACAATAAAATAAGGAATCAATAGAATTAAAAAAAAAAACATTGGAATACGAAATCAAGGATGAAAATGAAAACAATATAATGAATATAATATTTTTAAAAAATAAAAATAAAAGCACAAGCAAAACCAAGCTTTATATATTCAGTTGTGCATATATGAATTTTGCATTGGTTATATTTATTTGTTATCTAAAATATTTTAGAAAAATTTAATTTTTATCCAAAAAATCATATCGAAGATTTAATTATAATACATTCAATATTTATTTTATATATTTAAAAGCAAGCCAAAAAGCCAAAACTGAAATTAAACCAAAATAATATCAAAGCAACCTCTATATACTTTGAACTTCAAAACTTCACTTGTATACATACCTTAGGTACATTGTGTAGCCACTGTTTGTCTGTGTGCATTATGGAGTTTCGAGTCGAAGCTCGTCGAGGCTGGCACAATTTCACAGTATTGATTCTAACTGCTTCAGCTGAGGATCGAGATCTTGAGCTCGCGAGGAATCATCATCCCGGGGACTCAAGTACATCTCGGCCATGGCCTTGCCTTTGTCCAGCACCTCGCTCGGGACAGTTTTCAAAAGGCTGTACAAAGTCACAAATGCTCGGACAACTTTAAAAAAAAAAATGGCTCGAGAGTATTTGTGCACATTTTACCTGTCCAGTGCATTCAGTGCAGTCACAACTTTGCCTTTCATTGTTTCAACTGAAGTCTCCGACTCATTTCTTGATGCTCGTAGGAGTAAAGAATCGAGTTCCTCTAAGGCTCTGCGCAGTAATTAATTGCACCTGTGGTTATTTCTCGAATAATAACATCATGATAAGAAACATCTAACATGATAGGAGATTTTTATGTATCTATCATAGTTTTTGTATTTCAGACATAATGCTTATAGAGACCGCACGAGATTTTGTGTATCTATTGGGTAGGCGGAAATTAGGGTGATGATTAGGATTAAGAGTAATCAATGTATAGATCGACAATACAAAAAGTATTGACCTGACATATGGTGCATGTTAACAACATACTGCGTTCATACTTTTTGTGTTGTCAGTCTATACTTCAAGTACAGAGTAATAATTTTAATCAGCCCCCAACGGCCCCTATCGTATAACAGTTACCACAGTAGTTTTTTGAATTTGCATATGGAAAAACTACGGGTTTGCTTGTTTTGAGTTTTGGTTTGAAGAATATTTGTTTATATAAAGTATAAGAAATTGTGTAGGTAATATAAAATTTATGAGTGCGTGTAATATATAAATTTTTTTGAAAAATGTGCGAAACAAACAAACCCTATGATCTCCAGACAAAATCTTGTTGCTTAATTGTTGGCTATTGGTAGGCTATTCATGGTTTGCATCAAATGATAACACTTGTTTCTAAAAAAGCTAATGGAAGATATACCTTAAGCACTGATCTACCTCATCGAATGCAGATTTTCCGTTGCCAGCTTCAGAAGCATACTGTGCTACCTGCAACAATATACGATATTTTGCATATAAACTCGTCTTGTTTTTATTAAAAATCCACAAGAAGACAATCCAACTACAGTTTACTCTCTCTTAGGAACAAAATGCTATTATGGAGAACGGTTTGCTACCAGACGTTATAAATCATATTAGCTAAAGATGATTGAAATATGATTTACGTACTGCCCGGATATTGACACGCAGAGATGATGCAGGACCGGATCTTAAGAGACTTCGGCAATCAGCAAATTTAGGTTGATCAACTTCGAGATATTGCCCTATTGACAAGTAATTCGTGAGGAAGATCCCATGTTTTCTCATTCTCTATAGAATTTAGAGACCACCCTCTACATATACAATTCCTGAGTTTGCAAAATAGGCAAATGAAATAAGAATATAGAAGATAGTATTTTGGTGTATAAAGTTATATAGTAAACGATAGAAGACCAGAAGCTTGAAAACATGTGAATGGGAAATATTCATATCCTAGCACAATAGTTACTGGACCCGTGCAAATGGCAGTTTTGAAAAGTCATGGAGTAGATAGTACAAGTTTTTAAGTTTTAAGGTGCAATCCACAATTTTGAAAGCAATGGCTTCCACGATATTTATTTTGTGAGTCCTTTCAAACAGAAGTGAAACCATTTGCGGCTAGTAATGACAATATGGTACGGAGACAAATCGTAGTTCTTAAAAAAAACAAGCATATATAAATTGAAGGTGTATTACCCAATTCCTCAATTTGGAGCTCAGTCAATAGAACAGCTGGTACATAAGATTCCAATGGATCAAGCTTTTTCCTGGACAAAGTATCATGAAATTAAGCAAGAAAACAAAAGGTCAACACAAAACCGATATTTATGCATCGGTCAGAAATGAAATGAAAAATCCATCCTACAAGCCATGACTATTGAAGCAAAAAAATTTACAAATTGGATTAAAATTTAGCAATTTACAGAAGAGGAAAAATCATCATACCACTCTATCCTCTAATCATTACAAAGTTCCATTTTAGGTTTCTTGAAAAACATGAAAGGAAAGAAACATATGAAAGCATGGCAAAATAATGTCACAAAATCAATCGTTGGAAATGGAAAATAAGCAGTCAAGATGAATTTATCAATCTATTTCTGTTGGCCTAAATCTTAATGCAATTAGAACTGCAGAGAAACCCCGCTCTATCAAACACTTTTTGTTCTTCAAGAACATTCAATGCATGCCGCTAAGAATCTCCCTTTTCAGTTGAAATTAACCGAAGTTTAAGCAGGAAACCAATGAGCTTCTGATAAAATTAGTTATCAACACCGACCGAAACTTCCGATTTTGGAAACCAAGAAGTTTATATTGAGTACTGCATACAAAACCAAATAAAGATTCTAACTCTTACTTTTTCATGTATTTGTCGAAAATGCCGGCGCTCATTGCTTCTGCAACCACCAACAGAAAGGTCAGTACATAAAAAGTAACAGGAAAAACAAGAAACAGCTTAAATTAATCCAACATTGTAAGCATAATTCCTTCATTATGACACACACATACAAACATGATTGCCACAGAAGGATTTCGACAATCGGAGCACTGTTCATGTGTAAACGCCCTCATATTACATATCCAGATCAAAAGAATACAGTTAGACCATAGCAAAGCTTGGCTGTCCTGCTGAATCATTGCAATGAGTTTTCAAAAAAATCATGAAAGCAAACAAAAGTTATTCTGAAAATTCGACCTGTACGATTCAGTGAAACTCTAAAATCCATCCATTGGTTGTAAAAAGAACATAAGCCCTATGTTTTGCAAACAGTAAAATGAGTTGAATTACTCTTGCTCAAAAGTTCAACCTCAAGTGCAGCACGTATTGATCTAAATTTGAGCTTCGTACAAAACTGAATGTCATCTCAATTCATTTTTTCATACACATTCTTGAGGCATAACACACTCCACGTATAAACAAACATAAACAGCGTAGACATTACCTTACAGATAAGTTAAGGATCAAAAGTAAATCAGTAACTGACCTAGGGTGAGAAATAGACATTGCAGACTCCGTACCTTTAGATTGAGCGGCGAAATGGAGAAGAACGAGGGACAAGGAGACTGCTCGCCTACTCTCCCCTGACCTCCTCTGAGGTAACGTTGAACACCTCACTCCAGAGCTACAGTTTCGGTTTCTTTGCTTCACCAGTGAGAAGTGGATACTACAACCAAGACGGCACGCGGCGGCGGCGGCGGTGGTGGACATTCCGATGCGGTGGTGGTGCTGTAGTTTAGAGGAGACGACGACGATGCAGCGGAAGGCTTATCCACTTTCCCGATAGCCCCGACCCGTAAATTTTGACATATTAAAAGACGGTTTTACTTCTTTTTCAACAATCACTTTGGGTGTGTTTTGTGCGAAGGATTAGATTTGTACGATTGGTACTATTTTTTTTTTAATATTAAATCAAATATATTTTTTTTTATTTTTTATATTATTTTAATTATTAATTTTATATATATATAATATCGTATTAATATTTATTTATATTATACTATATAATTATTTTAATTTAAATTTTTTATTATTTAAATCTCAATTTAAAATTTTAATTTATATTTGTTTTGGTTTAAATTTTTTTTTAATAAAACAGATAGAGAATTTGGTAGATAATATAAAAATAATAAGTATATATAGTATATTATTTTTTTGAAAAATATATTGATTTGTTTTGAATAAAAGAACACTCATATTTTAATTAAAATATTATTGTTTTTAAAATTTTATCTTATAAATAAATACTACTATATAATTTTATTATAAATATAGATAAAAAATTGTTAAATTGTGTATGTTTCATTAAACATTTTTTAGGTTTGAAAATTGTACTTTAAATAAAATTTTAATTCAATATTTTGTATGAAAAAAAAATTATTAATAATACAGAAATTGAATAATAAAAAACCAAAATAAAACTCCAATAATTATTTGTTCTTTTAGGGATTTTAAATCAAAATTTTATGATCTTGTAAAAATATATAAATTTATATTATAAAATATTATATTTTAATTATTATTCAAATTAAAATAAAAAATGTCATCTAAACATACACACAAATATATATATATTTATTTTATGACGTGAAAACTTGTCGTCGCTATCCGAAAGTGCTCACCTATAAACCTCAGCTGACAGACAAGTCACATTAGAGTGTGTTTGTTTGGGGAATTGGATTAGATTTCTACTATTCATTCCATTTTTTTTTTTCCAAAAAACATCAAATCAAACACATATTTTTTATTTTTTATATTATAGAAAAAATCAATTTTATATTCAAAACATCACATCAACAAGTTATTTATATCACATCGTAAACTATTCAAATTCAAAATTTTTACTATTCAAATTCCAATTTAAAATCCAAACCCTCCATACAACTATTCAAATTCAAAATTTTTACTATTCAAATCTCAACATAAAATTCAAACTCCCCAAACAAACACAAGCTAGGTAAACCATGTGTAGCAGATGATCCGAGGGGTCGGGGCTATAAATATTTATTTTCTTTGTACTAAACTGTGATTGCTATTCAAGCCAATTATGATCACATGTTACTCATGGACGATAGGCCACCGAATAGTTATTACTTTTATAAAGTCTATAATTGATTGCAGTATATATATTTATACATTGAAGTTTAAACCAAATCATTATTATTCTTAATTTATAATAAAAAATATATATATTCTTTATAAAATATCTTACTTAAAATTCGAAATTTAACGATGAATGGTTCAAATATAGTAAAAATAAATATGTTATATTAATATATAAATAAATATTAAATTTATTAAAATATAATTGAACGACGAATGGTGCAAATTTGGAAACATAAGTTTAAATAAAATAAAGTGCATATTTCTTTGTCCAAATTTGACCTTATCCCACACGCACCACATGTCGCACGTGCCGCCAATGTTTAAGATGAAATTCACGACTGCCCACCCGTCGCCGGCGGCTTTCTGTCTTTCTCTCTTCAACAATGTCCACCGCCACCGGTTTCCTCCGCCTCTCTTTCTCACCTCACTGCTCGTCTCTCCGGAGCCGCCATGACTTTTCTCCTCTGCAGTACAAGCGACGCCGGCCTCTTCCGCGGCATTTGCACCGCTTCCACACCTCTATACGCATCTCGGCCAAAGCTGTCGAGTTTAAATCAGCTGGAAATCTCCAGCTGCAAGGGAGGGAAGCTGAGGAGAGCTTTAATTCCACCGTATTGCTCGACGTATCTGGAATGATGTGCGGTGCGTGTGTCTCACGCGTCAAGTCGATTCTCTCCGCCGACGACCGCGTTGACTCCGTCGTCGTTAACATGTTGACTGAAACCGCCGCGATCAAGATTAAGGAAGGACTTGGAGAAGACTTCTCCGGCGTGGCGGATGAGTTGGCGAGCCGTGTCTCCGCCGGTGGGTTTGAGGCGCGGCGGAGGGCGTCGGGGATGGGCGTGGAGGCGAAGATACGGAAATGGAGAGAGACGGTGGAAAAGAAGGAGGCGCTGCTCGCAAAGAGTCGAAACCGCGTGGCCTTTGCCTGGACATTGGTTGCGCTCTGCTGTGGCGCTCACGCTTCTCATATTCTGCATTCCGTCGGCATTCATACTGGTCATGGTAAGATTTCTGAATTCTACAGCTCTTCAATATACTGTAGAATTCCGTTCTCATTCTTGTTCTTGAGTTGGATTTTCTGTGTTTACTCATTGCCATTTCCTAGTTTGATTTCTTGTAAGTTGTATTGAGTTAGTGTAATGTGTATGAGAGTTTATTTGTAGGATCAGTTTTGGATCTCCTTCATAATTCGTATGTGAAAGGAGGGTTGGCTTTGGGCTCTCTCTTGGGACCTGGACGAGGTGAGTTTTTAGCTACCTTAATTTGAGAATTAAATTTGAACTATATTATAAAATTATATGCTGTTATTATTGGGGATAGGAAACTTTTTATAGCTAATTTGGTTTACATTATGTCCCAGACTTGCTCTTTGATGGTTTGAGGGCATTTAGGAAAGGCTCTCCCAATATGAATTCTCTTGTTGGCTTTGGATCTATTGCTGCATTTGCAATTAGCGCAGTAAGGAAGTGATGATGGTGGATTACTTTATTAGAATGGTGCTTCAATATGATTTCTGGCTGTTAGTTGTGTATGAGAGTATGTCATTGATCATTTGTTATATTTGTATTCGTAGGTGTCGGTCCTCAACCCGGAACTTCATTGGAGTGCTTCATTTTTTGATGAACCGGTATGATTTGCTATCACTTCATTTGAAACATTTTTTCAACTGATTTAATGGTAATGTTGACAATTAAATATGGGTTGTGGTTAATGTATTCTAATAAATCATCTTGCGCTTACTTTTAAGATTGTCACTGAAATTAATTGATTTTTAGCACGCAGGTCATGCTTCTTGGATTTATTTTACTTGGTCGTTCACTTGAAGAAAGAGCTAGAGTCAAGGCATCTAGTGACATGAATGAGCTACTGGTAAGTTTTAAATGTTACTGATTGTAGGGTTGTGTGGTACATTGTAAAGCCACTTGGAGTAATGGCATACAGATAGGTATTAGAAAGTATTCATTTGTGTTTCATGAGACCCTCTAAAAGCAATTGTCTACCCGAGAATTGTTGTTATGCAGCCAAAGCATGCATACCTGATATTTGCTGGAGTCTTTGTTGGCTTAATATTCTTTGTGCTTGAGTACATGAAAACTGCCCTGTTGTCACTATGCTCTTGATAACTGCTAATTTGGTTTTGCTGCAGTCACTTATATCCACTAGATCAAGACTTGTGATTGCTCCCTCTGGAGTTGATGTCTTGGAAGATAATGTTATTTGCCCTGATGCAATGTGCATCGAAGTTCCCACTGATGAGATTCGAGTTGGTGATGCAATCATGGTATTGCCTGGAGAAACAATTCCCGTAGATGTAAGTCTTCATATGTCCGATTTTTCAATGATTTAGGCTATTTTTGGGGGTATATCCATAATAATAGTAGTCTTTGCGTATGTTTGACTATATTCTGTATTCAACCCATTTTTTGAATTAGTTCTCTGAATTCTCACAATCGATCATTTAGTTTGACTTCAGTTAAGTTTATTATTTATAATATTTGAGAATCATATGAAACCATTTCTGAGCCTCTGAAACACTATTATTCTGTGGAAGGTTGGCAATTCATTAGTCAAGTATGATTTGAAGATTTGTAGCATTTGAAGTATTCACAGATAATTTGCATGGAATATTTTGAATAAGTGGATATCTATCGATAAAGCAAAAGAAATAGATAGTATTTGACTTCTAGAGGAAGTTGTTTGCTTAAAAATCTCATTGTAGCTATATTCATTATCCAGCAATATATAGTTTTGTACTTGCTAAACATTAGAGGAAATATACAGCAGGCAGATGTTTTGTCAATACCTATGTTCCTGGATACATGTGAAGATTTGTCTATTTTACTGGATTAATGTTGTTTGAGCAGGGGAAAGTTCTTGCGGGTCGAAGTGTTGTGGATGAGTCGATGCTTACTGGTGAATCTCTTCCTGTGTTCAAGGAAAAGGACCTTTCTGTTTCAGCAGGCACAATTAATTGGGTACGAGGCTATTCAATGTGTTTCATTTCTGCAGGAGCGTCCATGTAATTCAACTTCATTTTTTTGTGTTTTTTCTTGTTTTGTCCCAAACAATCAGTTTCAATGTTTTGATGACCCCAAATTGCTTGCTAATCTTTCTTACTTTTGGTATTATAGGAATATCATAGATGTACAACCAAGCCAACTGCCATTTTGTTATTGAACTTCCATGCTGCTTTCAATTATAGGTTATAAATATGAACAGAACTTCCTATGTAGTACATATTTGCATTGTGGTTTCTCAGTCTGTTGAGTTCCGTGGATTCTCTGGCTGCTCGATTTCTTTCTAGATCAGTACATAAAATCCCATGCAATTACTTTGACAAGGTTTTTTCATGATGGTAACTAATTAGTGAACTGTCGTGAGCAAGTTAAGATTCTTCAGATGTTAAATGTCTCCCAAGTCCCAATGATCACTGTTTTACAGTTGCATTACTGGACTGATGCTTTATTCCATTCTTACTCAGGATGGTCCTTTAAGGATAGAGGCTTCTTCTACTGGTTCAAATTCGACAATATCCAAGATTGTTAGCATGGTTACTCTTCCCTCTCATTCTCTGTGTCTCTTTTGGCCTGCCCCCTTCCCCCCTATGTGCCCCTTATTATTTATATTTGTTCACTTATCTATTTGTTTCTTATGATTATGTTTCTCTATCAGTTTTCACTAATGGCTACCTAAGTCTTTCCATGTTATGCATGTAAATTTCTTCAAATTTTCAATGAAAATACATTGCTAGAGTTGAAACTGGAATTGCTTGAACCGTGTATGTTTGCAGTTAGTGGGGATTTTAAAAATGAATGGAACATATTACCTTTGTATACGAAACTCGCATGTCAAAAGTTCCAGAAGAGAAACTCGGTTATAGATTGAAGGAATGGAGTTCTAACCTTTTTAACATTCAGGTTCACAGTTTCCATCTAGTCATTCTGCAGATATAATCTTGACTCATAATCTCTTATTACCCTTGGATTGAGGGATCAAGCAAAAGCATACATGTTCAGTATCGAGTCCCTTTTCATTTAGTTCTGGAAATCAGAATTTTTATATGATATTATAGCATTTGGAACAAAAATATGATTTTGGCAACACCTAGGTTAAACATCTGTCATTGTTTTCTTAAATTTATTTGTACTTCAATTATATGAAAAAATTTATTACATCAAGAACAGCATTCCCTGAGTGTGATTGTTTTTCTAAATAGTTCTTATTTTGTCCTTTCCTTTGAAGGTTGAGGATGCTCAAGGGCGTGAAGCACCTATTCAGAGACTTGCTGATTCAATTGCTAGTCCATTTGTATTCAGTGTCATGACATTATCAGCTGCGACATTTGCCTTTTGGTTTGTCTTTGCATTCTCACATGATAACAATATGAAACTTTGCTTCATTTACAAATATTTTGAGATGATAGTAAACTTTATTTTGATTGTGGGAACATTTGATGTATTATACCCGTCATATCCTAGAGATGCATGGCTACCTTTATACCAAGTGCATAGCAACATTTTGATTTTTTTTTCGGTCTTCAACATATGGAAATATGAATATTAAGAATATTTGAGATTTTGGTTACAATTTTCAAGAATTGTTGAAATTTATGAAAATAAAATTTTAGAAATGATTTACATATTTATCTAAGCTCTAATCAATTCGGCATTATTTGTTCTAGCTTAAATCAGTTTGTACGAATACATTGAACAACATCTTTCACTGTAAAGTTTTGTATACTTGTGTATGTATTTATGTATATGTAAACTGTGCTAGAAATTCATTAGTGCTTAGTAAAATGGTGTTGATTAAAATGGATGCATCGCAAAGCTGAAAGATGTTGGAAGCAACATAGACGAATTGGATTGGATGGCAGGAATTCATAGGCTTATTTCTATATTAGTTTTAAAGGTGAAAAGCTAGATTGTATGTTTTGCGTATAAAGCTTATGAAGAGTATTTATAAATAGGCTTATTTATTGATGAGTCAGTATTTTTCTTTATGAAAGTTTTTATTGTGAAAATATAAATTTGAATGCATGCATAAACACATCTATCTAATTTTTTATTTTATTTTTTGATTGATTATATTGTGGATAGCTTTTATTTATAAAATCTAAATATATATATATATATATATTATAAGAAATCAATAAAATTTTGTTTTTTTGACATTGTTTTGTGTTCTGATTTAGTTTTTGACATGTATTAAGGGGAAAGATATGACAAATGTAACAAAGAAGAGCCCTGAGTTTTTTGGCTTCTATGTTGCCATAAAAGACAAAAACAAAAATAAAAGGAAAACAATCTAATTTAGTTGGGAATAAATGTTTTGTCTCTCATGCATCACTGCTACAGAAATTGGTCCTATAGAAACAAGGTAGAGAAAAGGGACTCACCCTTTCTATTTACACTCTACTTTCAGGTCTTAGCATAGAAATCACTATAGTGATGCCGCTTCAGTAGTGTGCTTAGGATACATCATTGATTTCTTCATTGTATCTAGTATATGCTTACTCATACTCATTTCTGTTTAGGTACTATATTGGAACTCATATCTTTCCAGATGTGCTATTTAATGATATTGCTGGACCGGATGGAAATCCACTGTTGTTGAGTATGAAACTTGCTGTGGATGTTTTGGTGGGTGATTCTGACCACTGAGGATGTTTATTTGATTATGACAACTGAGGTTGTTTCATTTGTAACATCCTATTTTGACTCAAATGTCCCAACATTTTCTCAGGTTGTGTCCTGTCCGTGCGCTTTAGGTCTTGCAACACCAACTGCAATACTAGTTGGCACCTCCCTAGGTAAGATTGTGAGAAACTTGTTTTATGACAGTGTGAAGAGCATTCTCAATTTGCAAATTCACTGGATTTTCTCATGCAGTGAGTTATTTTTTTGTCTTTTCTATTGGCATTCTTTGTTTGCATATCTATTTATTAGATAGAAACTGACCTAAATTCTGTTTAGTCTGTGATAATAATTGATATTACTAAATTAATAGAACCACTGTTGATGAATCATTATTCCCCTGAACTTAACCTTGAATGCTTTGTTATATTATTATAAACAATATCATATAATTTTGATTACAAGTCTTCACAGTATGAGCTCTAGTTTTGAGGGTTTTGCTCTATTTTCTTGACTTCAGGAGCTAAACAAGGACTTCTTATAAGAGGTGGAGATGTATTGGAACGCTTGGCTGAGATAGATTACGTAACTTTGGATAAAGTAAGTATTCAAAAGTGTTAGATGATCTAAATGACCGTCTCACCTAAAGGCTTAAGCTGTTAGGATTATTTATTTATTTATCTATAAACTGGAGTCCACCAACACGCTCCTCATGAGCAAGGAGATAAATCCCACCGTCCTCCGTTTGCTGTTGTCCATGAGCAAGTTTCGTTTGGTGTCATTTATCCCTTGCCTGTGAGGGGGCGCGTTGGTGGACTCCCGTTTGTAGATAAATACATTAATGATGCGTATCCTAATAGCTTAAATTTTTAGGTGAAACGGTCATTTATATCATCTAACAAAGATTATCTGTTCTTTGCCAACATTTGAAATAATGTACAGTATCTTATTCATCTACAACAGGGATAAGACGTGACACTTTCTATTCTATCATTTCTATTTACAACCTTCAGACAGGAACACTCACTGAAGGAAGACCTGCTGTATCAGCTGTTGTGGCATTTGGTCATGGGGAATCTGAAATACTTCAGATTGCTGCTGCAGTGGAAAAAACGGCATCGCATCCACTTGCAAAGGCTATTGTAGCTAAAGCTGAGTCATTGAATTTGAATATTCCTAGTACAAGAGGACAATTAGCTGAACCAGGTTCTGGGACATTAGCTGAAGTAGATGGGCTTTTAGTGGCTGTTGGTAAATTAAGTTGGGTTCGTGATCGGTTTCAGCAGAGAACCAGTGTTTCTGATCTAAAGAGGCTTGAAGAGTCTGTCATACATCTATCATCAGTAAATTATTCATCATCCAACCATTCCAGAACAATTGTTTACGTTGGTAGGGAAGGAGAAGGCATTATTGGTGCTATTGCAATATCGGACAACTTGCGACATGATGCACAATCTACCATTTCGAGGTATTGTCATATTTCATAAAATATACCTAAATTGAAAGTTGTGGTTCATTCATTATTTGTTATATTGAAGACATAGAGTCAATAATGCTTCATGAAGTTCTTTCTAAACAATGTCGGGGATCTTCATCCTAAGCTTCAGAGTTGCTGCTACATTATTGTATTTAAGAAAAGAAGCATTTCTTATAAATTAATGACACCATTTCTTATGCTGCATTGCTCCTTGCTAACATGAATTAGAAGCCTTTTTTAAGGGTATTCTCCTTTTCTTTTCCCTAGTTTTCTTATGTTTTTTCCTTTTAACTTTGAAAGGCTTCAGCAGAAGGCAATTCGAACGGTCGTGTTATCAGGGGACAGGGAAGAGGCAGTTGCAGCTGTTGGAAAACTAGTAGGCATAGAAAATGAATTTGTCTATGGCTCATTAACTCCACAGCAGAAATCTGGTGTTATTTCAAGCCTTCAAGCATCCGGCCATCATGTCGCTATGGTAACTAGACTATTTATGAAATTAAAATCTGTAAAGGCTAAACGTTGTCTTTAATTTCGTGATAGCTGCATTCCTCAGAGAAAAGAAGATCTAATTATACATGACTTTTCTGTGGCAAACTTTTACTAATGGTTTCTTGAAGGTTGGAGATGGTATCAACGATGCACCCTCACTTGCACTCGCCGATGTTGGGATTGCCTTGCAAATTGATGGTCAAGAAAATGCTGCATCAAATGCAGCATCAATTATACTGCTGGGAAATAGACTGTCACAGGTATGCATTTCCCTCGTGACCCTACACTTACCATTCTGTCATGTTGCTGTTGATGAAGTAGTAGTTTGCAATGTTGGTATAGTAAACTGATTTTTTAATCCTTTATCATTTTAATTCCGTAATTGGAGCTTGTCGCAAACTAGTTTCGTAAGTAGAAAATTTTTGCAATTTTAGCCCTTCGGTACTGGAGATGTCTACGTGGCACCCATGTGGCTCGCCGGATGACACATATCCGCCAAGTTACCGACACCCGAAAATTTTCAAAACGTTTTTTGAAATTTTTTAATTTTTACAAAAAGACAAACTAAATAAAATAATTTTTAAAAATAAAAAAATTCAGGTGTCGCTGACTTAGATGATACATATCCTATGGCGAGCCACATGGGTGCCATGTAGGCATCTCCGGCGCTGACGGACTAAAAGTGCAGAAAAATTTCTCTTACAGTTTGCGACAGGTTCCATTTATGAACTATTATCAGTTTAAGCAAAGGGTTGTATTGTTATTGTTCATGAAAGAATATAAGAGCTATCTAAGGACTATGATAACAAAATTATATGGTGGGTTTTCGTCATTTATGTTATACACAAACAGTCCACAAGCACTGCTCCATTTGATGGTGTATTATGTGTAATTAATTTCTTTGAATTTCCTGGATAGAATGTCTATTTTACTCGAGTGTTCCCGACAGGTTGTGGAAGCAATTGACCTTGCAAGAGCAACAATGGCAAAAGTTCGCCAGAATTTGACCTGGGCAGTTGCCTATAACGTCGTCGCAATTCCTATGGCAGCTGGAATACTACTTCCCCATTTTGACTTTGCTATGACACCTTCACTTTCAGGTCAGTTTCCACACTATCTATTCAAGATCGCGACGCCGGGGCTAGAATGACTCGAAGTGCTCTACTTATCTTCTGCTAATAGTGACCAATCTGCTTTCATGTTCTTTCCTCATTGCCATGGGAATCTGAAAACTTAAGGTTGATTTTGTCTTGACAGGGGGAATGATGGCCTTGAGTTCAATCTTTGTTGTCACAAATTCACTGCTTTTGCAGCTCCATGGCCATCAAAGGAAGAAGGCAAAGATTGAAGCCATGAATCATCCTCAATAATGTCGGAAATGAAGACATTAATCAAAACTGGTAAGCCACTCCTGACTCCTTTGTAATTCCCCTTTACAGTTCCTCCTTGTGTTAAAATCTTGCTTGATGTAATGTGGTATTAAATAAAAACTTAATTATATAATATAATATAATATAATATAATATAATATTTTTAAAAATAAAAATAAAAATAAAAATTATTTTTACAATAATATCCATAGTACGTAGATATGATTGAAAACATGAATAAATGCATAACAGACCCCAATCTGTGGCAATCTACTCAGAGGCGTCTAGTGTGTTTTCGGGTTGTTTTTTGTGGCTTGTTTTTCGTATAGGATTGAGCTCTAGGTAAATAATAATAATAATAATAATAATAATAAATACAATACAATAATATAATATAAAAATAATTAATTTATATATTATTAATTTTTAATTTATATATTATATTTGAATTAAAATTAAAAATTGAGACACCAAATTTAACTAGAAATATATAATTTTTTTAATTACACTAAAATTATTAAATATAATTTGTAAAATTTTAAAATACAAATAATTTTAGTATAATATAAAAAATAAAAAATAGGTGTTTCATTCGAATATTTTTGGGGGAAAAGAATTGGTGAACAGTGAATTTAATCAAATCTCCAAACAAAACACACCCTAGGTAATAATCCGTACAATTTGGTTCAATTTTCAGTGCATTAAGTTTGTTTCGGGACATTATGATTTGTTTAATATAGCATCCTTTTTGTCTACAATATACCTAGTCATCCAATTTTGTGTCAATTTGACCTGTCATAAGTTTTAAAAAAAATAAATAGTTAAAAATAAAAAATTTATTTTTTTATAAAAGTGATATTTTTTTACTATAAAAAATAAAAATAAATTTGAATGACAAAAAATAAAAAATAATAAATTTGAATGAGTAGGATTTAAGTATGCTTCTCCCAACACTCTTCAACTATACCATACTATACAAATGTGATTTTACATGAATTACCTTGTCGATTTATAGGTAAAAATAAAAAAAAAAAAATTTTATAAAAGTGATATTTTTTTACTAAAAAAATAAAAATAAATTTGAATGACAGAAAATAATAAATAATAAATTTGAATGAGTAGGTTAATCGCACCTTTAATACATATTTATATCATATTATTTTTATATAAAACATCATATTTAATATATATATATATATATTTACACTACATTAAATATTTAGGTTTTATTTAAATAGAAGTTTTGGGGTATGTTTCCTTGTAATTTTAAATTGAAATTAATAATATTTATTTTGTAGAATTTTCAATAAAAATATTTTTTCATATAAATATTATATCAAAATACTATTTAAATAATAAAATTAAATTAATATCTCATTTTAAATTAATTTTAAAGTACAACTAGACAAACCTTTGGGGTAAATAATTGGAGGTTTGTTTGGTTTAGTTTTGCTTTTGAAATCTAATTTTTAATTTTTAATTTTAATTTTAATTTTAATATTCCTTTCATTCTACATATTTTGTCCACATAATTTATCATTTTTTTTAAAAAAAATATGATTATACATTATAATCATATTTTATTTTATTTTTATAATTTTTATAATTTTAATTTTAATTTATAATTAATTTTACTAATATATTTTTTAATTATTTACTAATTATATTTTATCTAAATTTTTACATTTATAATAATAGGCTCATATTACATGAGACTTATATAGTACTCCCTCCGTCCACCACGGATAAAGTATACATTTACTTTTGGCGCGGTGTTTAAGGAATAATAGTATTTTAATTATAGTGGATAGTTAAAAGTAGTGTAATGACATTTTTGCCCTTGCTTTTTGGTATAAAAGTAATGATGTGATGTAAAGTAAGGGTATTTGTGGAAAACAGTGAGGTATTTAATAAAATGTTTACTTTGTAATTAAACGTCCCAAAATAAAAATGTGTATACTTTTTAGCCGAACGGAGGAGGAAGTATTTCATAAAAGTAAATAATATAGTTTTAAATAGTAAGCAGAATAGTATTTTTTTTTTAACTATTTCATAAAAAGTAAATAATATAGTGTTAACTAGTGAGCATTGAATAGTGTTTTTTTATTTGAAAAAAAAAAAAAAAACACTGTTGAATATTTAATATAATATTTTATATAAAAAATTATTAATAAATAAATATATATATATATATATATATATGAAAATCTCGTTTTATATTGCTTTTTATTATTTTTAAAACCCGCGAAAATATAAAACAAAAGTGTCGAAATGTATGTAAATACAAGCATATAATGGAATTGATAGATATTAAATGCGAGGAAGGTAATAATTCGGGTAATAATTAATTTAATGGGGCCGGCCAAGGAAGGTTCTTGTAGTTGTAATGGTAATGTTGGATCATTGAATAGGCACGTGATTGGGATATTTCTTGTTGCACTTATTTTATTATTTTTACTGGCTCCGTCCACATGTAAAATATACAATTATTTTTGATATAATATTTAAAAAATAATAGTATTTTAATTATTGTGGGTGGTTAAAAGTAATATAATAACATCTTTGCTTTTGTTTTTTGGTGTAAAAATAATAATGTGATGTAAAATAAGAGATATTTGTGAAAAAAAATAAAATATTTACTTTATAATTGGACGTCTCAAAATAAAAATGTGTATATTTTTTTAGCTGGACAGAGGGAGTATTATATATGTGACGTGGTTCGTGCCTTGGCCCCTCAATTTATTACTCCATTTGTACCCGAACATATATTGCATTTTTTTCATAATTCTTCTGTCTTAATACAGATGATTTTTATATTTATCACTTTTTTTTATTTTAATAAATAAGTTTATATTAAAAAATATAAATTCAATACGATTTTCAATGATTATAAATAGAAACATGATGAGTTAGTTTTTTTTTTTTAAAAAAAATCAATACCATTTTTAATATATATATATATATTATCTATCTTTTATCGAAAGTCTAATATCTAATATTAAATATATTTTTTTATTAACGATACAATTTTTTATATTTTACATAAAAAAAAATATTTAAATTAAAATTATGATCAAACAAACAACTCATCTTGGATGAAACGAGATTGAGAGAGAATAAAGATTGTATTAATGCACGTGTATATTTGTATTTTTTAAAATATTTATTGAGAATTATACCATCTAAACATACAATGTGAGCAAATAAACATATGTATTCAACTCAACGTATCATTCTTACTATTTTCATTTATCACATTCAAATGTATCCATTTTTAATTGTAATAAAAATAATTGTCTAAATACAAAAATACATCTATTTTTTTTAAAAAAAAAATTATTTTTCTTTGTATTTTCGAGAGATATAACATTAAAGCAAATTATTTTATATATTTTTATTAATTAATAAAATACTCCAGTCCCACTTAATATCTTTCATATTTTTATTTTTGTTTATTTCACTTAATTTGTTTATTTTTAAAAAATATAATTATATATTTTAATCCTATTATAACATTCATAATTTATATTTTTTTATTTTAATTACATTATTTAGTAATATTATTATTAATATATACTCTCTTCGTCTCACATAATTTGTCTCTATTTTCTATTTTCGTCCGTTACAAATAACTTGTCCTTTCTATTTTTTAGAAATATAATTATGCACTTTAATCGCATTTTAAATTTTATTAATTTTCAATAAACTATTTACTTATCTTAATCTTAATCTATAATTATTTTTACTAAATAATAATAATTTTTATTAATATACTTCTTAATTACTTACTAATTATACTTTACCGTGTCAACAGTAATACACCCATATTACATAGAATAAAATAAATAATTATTTTTATTAAATTATAATTATTTCTATTAATACATTTCTTAATTAGTTATTCATTAGATATAGTACTTCAAATTTAGTGGCTAAACTAAATCTGATAATTTAACTGTGAGGAAGAAAGTATATAGTATTTTTTTTAATGTAAACTATAGAAATAATATAAATAATACTATAAAATGAATAAGTGTATGTAATATATATATTAATATTTTTGAAAAAATATATAAATTTTTTTACACAAACACACCCATTATTTATAAATATATATTATAAAAAATAAAAAATAAATTGAATTTGAGAACTAGTATCTTTTTATTTTTGTGACCAATCCCTCTCCAAAAACATCACTAAATTCAAAACAACAGAATAAATTCTAAATTGGAGTAAAAGCAAGCCGAAAATGTAAACATGTGTGGGAGCAGTACGGAAAGAAGCGACGGACACTAACGCCGTTAGACATCCGTTAGTTTTAGGCGTTAGATGTCAGCCTTTCAGCGGGTACGGGACCCACTTCAACACTGTTGCCATTATTTAATGTCAGAATAAAATATAAAAAAAAAGAAAAAAAAAATGAATGTAATAAATAAATAAATAAATAAATGGGACACACACTCTCTATCTCTATCTCTATCTCTCTCTTTTTGTTGGGTGGCCTTCCCGAGACAATCTGACGCTGTTAAAAAGTAAACAGAGGTGACAACTTTACTACCAGCGAAAAGTTTTGGGCCATTCTGCCATTTTCATATTTTAACTGGGGTAAAGTGTAAAATGGCTGAGGGGTTAGTTTGCTAGGTTTGTTGGCAGGTCAGCCTAGCAATCATTGCCTACTGCCCTTTAGTTTTTATTCATTGGATTCTCTCACTCTCTTTCTCTCTCTCTCTACATTCATCTGATCATAATACTGGTTCAAATATTTTTATATCGAATTTTAATTTAGAGAAGATTATTTCGATGTTATTTTAATAAAATGTACTGTAGTCAGTGAATTTGTAAGAAACAGTGTTCTTAATTCTCATATGCATTTATGGTGAAACCCAGAAAGGCATTCCTTAAAGGTAATTGCAGTCAGGAATAGAAATTTGTGCAGAGGTTGTCTGTATTGGTCAGGAGATGATATTCGGATCGAAATTTGAATATTGGTTTTTTGGGACAGACAGAATGAAGATGGATAGTTTAACCTAATTAATTAATTAATCCCAAATTGGATTTGCATTTGGGGCAGCGGTTCAGTTCGATCGTCTTCTTTAATTTTTTTAGGGTTTTTTTTAAAAATGGAGTGTGTATGTATATTTTGGTTTTGTATGGATATTGATAGATACTTCTTCTGTGTATGTATGCAGATAATTGAGTGTGTGTCTGTGTGTGAGAGAGAGAGAGAGAGAGAGAGAGAGAGAGAGAGAGAGGGGTTTGCAGGGATGAGAGAGAAAGCTGTAATCTATTGATGAACTTTGTATCAGAAATTCAGAATCTTGGCAGAAGGTTTTTATCCTTTTCCCCTCTTCAAATAATTATCCCCTCTCTCTCTCTCTCTTTTCTCTCTCTTCTGTTTCTCACTCTTCAGAAACACAGCAGAAGGGCTGAGGACGATGTGATTGAACATTGCCAGCAACAGCCATGGCCTGCTCCTATCTCCCTCAATAGTCAGTCTCACTCCACATTTCCCCACAAAACCCTTTGTTTCTCTCTCTAAAACCATATTACAGATTGATTTTATATTCCTCAATTCTTCTTCTCCAATCTCCCATCTTTAAGAAAAACTCCATTCTCAAAGCTTTCACGCATTAATGGAAGATATAACTATGGCTGCCGCTGCTGCTGCTGCTCATCCATCATCATCATCATCATCATCTTTGTGATTGATTTTCTCTCTCTACTCTCCCATGGCGACCTCCTGGCGACGAATCTCAGCCGTTGGATTTCTGGCAGTGTTTTTGAGCTGCTTATTAGCTTCTGTAGATTGCGATGAAGGTGAGAGTGAAAAAGCTTCTGCTTCCTCTCTCTCTCTCTCATCACCATTCTTTTGTCTCATCATATTTCATCCAAATTTAATTAATAATTAATAATTAATTAATCGACTGTCCTCTCATGGCAAGTTTCGTTTGTCGTTTCTAAAGCCTGTTTACGCCATCATAATCACGTCACTTTCTCCATTAATCATCAAAAAAACCTTTTTTATTTTTATTTATTATTTTTATTTCTGACCTCACTGGTTATTTTAATGGCGGATTAAGGTGCAATTCTTGTCGAGATAAAGAAATCTCTCAGAGATGTCGACAATGTTCTCTATGACTGGACAGACTCGCCATCGTCGGATTACTGTTCTTGGAGAGGAGTCAAATGTGATAACGCCACTTTCAATGTCGCTGCACTGTAAAAAAATTCGATTCTTCTTGTTATTTAAACAATATCCTTTCTGAGATGTCCGATGTTGTTTCTTGGCTGATAAAATATTCGATCTTTCAGTAATCTCTCAGGTCTGAATCTTGACGGCGAAATTTCACCTGCAATTGGGCAGCTTAAAGGCCTCGTTTCTATGTAATTCGAATCCCCAATTTCAATTTTATTACATTTTTTCAGTGGATTTTTAATTTTGTTGTTGTAATTGAATCAGTGATTTGAGAGGTAATCGTCTCTCCGGACAGATCCCAGATGAAATTGGGGACTGTTCTTCCTTAATCAGCCTGTAAGAATTTTTTAAAAAATTGATTCTTTCGAGCTTGGAATGATTTGAGTTAATGGGTATTGAGATTTATAGATTTTTGCAATCACTAGGGACTTGTCATTCAATGAGATTTATGGAGACATTCCATATTCGATTTCGAAGCTCAAACGTCTCGAAAATTTGTAAGTGTAAGAACGTTGCTTGGTGATGTTATCGGTTTCACCATTGCTGACTGCTGAATTGTTTCCAGGATCTTGAAGAACAACCAGTTGATTGGTCCGATTCCGTCGACACTATCGCAGATTCCTAACCTTAAAGTCTTGTAAGATACACTGCTATTTCTCTGTTTTATTCGATTCCATTTATCGGCATTGCCAAGATTGTTTAATTTAGCTATACCTACATTTCATTCGATTTCACTATCGCCATTGCGAAAATTGTCTAATTTGGCTAGTTATGTGTTTAATTTAATTTCACTGTCGACATTGCGAAAGTTGTTGAATTCGGCAATATCTACATTTCTATTGATTCCATTATCGACATCGCAAAAAATTGTTTAATTTGGCTGATTCTAAGCTGCATTTGAATCCATTCTCGGCACTGCAAAAATTGTTGAATTTGGCTAGTTATCGGCGTTGCGAATTTGTAGAATTTAGCTAATTCTAACTTTCATTCGAAATCATTATCGGCATTGCATAATTGTCGAATTTGGTAGGGATCTTGCTCAGAACAAGCTGAGTGGCGAAATACCGCGGCTAATTTATTGGAACGAGGTTCTTCAATACCTGTGAGTTATCGGCATTTATTAAATTTAACTTATCGCGACATCTTGATGACGACGAGCACGTTAAAATCTTTGGAATTTTTCAGGGGATTGAGAGAGAACAAACTACAAGGATCGTTGTCGCCGGATATGTGTCAGCTGACGGGGTTGTGGTACTTGTAAGTTCATAATTAATCACTGCCACGACATCGAATGTTTTCGAAAATTCCAGACGAGTAATTGTTCATGTACTTGCAGTGACGTTAGGAACAATAGTTTAAGTGGTTCGATACCCGAAAACATCGGAAATTGCACGGCATTCCAGGTTCTGTACGTACCGTAATTAAAAATCGCGCTGCTAGTTGTATTCGAGATGACGATATGGTTAGCGGTTGATGACGACGACTATTTTCTGTGTGTTCGTCGTGTTAGGGATCTATCTTACAATGAATTCTCCGGCGAGATTCCATTCAACATCGGATTTCTTCAAGTTGCTACATTGTAGGCATTCAATTGTTCGTTTATTTGAAACGCTAATCGTACGATCTTTTATTCGATGCATAATGTGCTAAATATGGTGCGTTGTTAGGTCGTTGCAAGGGAATCGATTTACGGGGAAAATCCCGTCGGTAATTGGCTTGATGCAAGCGCTTGCCGTGCTGTAAGTTCGTTGTTTTGGGCTTAAAATCTTCGATTTTTGGATTTCAATTGTTGTAATTTTTCGTTTATTTTTTCGACAGAGATCTTAGCTGCAACATGCTGAGCGGAACCATCCCGGCGATACTTGGAAATTTAACTTACACCGAAAAGCTGTAAGTAATTGAAGATATGCGAAACTGTTTTGATTAAAATTGTGGTCGATAAAAAGCACATTATAATAAGCTTGGCGTCGATTTTTTTTCTTTCGAAGTTATCTGCAGGGGAATATGCTAACCGGAACCATTCCTGCCGAGCTTGGGAACATGTCGAAGCTCCATTATTTGTATGCTTCTTCTGTAGTTCGACTAAATCTTTCGTTATCAGTAGACGACATTTGGTTAAGCTGTCCTACGTTTTTCAGGGAATTGAACGAAAATCGCCTCACCGGAAAAATCCCTCCCGAACTTGGGAAGCTCACGGATTTATTCGACTTGTATGTTTATGGTTCGACCAAACGCCTCGTGTAAAATGGTTAACATGTCGTTGAATTTATTCTCGAATGTTTTGTTTTTTTGTTACAGGAATGTTGCCAATAATAATTTGGAGGGTCCTATACCCGACAATCTCGGCTCGTGTACGAATTTGAATAGCCTGTGAGAATCTGCGTCGATCTTTCTTCAATTTAGTGAAAAACGTCGTCGCCTTCTGTGATTAAACAGTGTTTTTACTTGATGATAGTAACGTCTACGGAAACAAGCTGCACGGCACCATTCCGCGAGCATTACAAAGGCTCGAAAGTATGACGTATCTGTGAGTGGCTCTTGTCGTCCGAGTCTACTTTCAACGATTGTTTTTCGAATATATATCGTTGCTCTAACTCTATGTTTTAGGAACTTATCCTCTAACCATCTCACCGGCCCGATTCCGATTGAGCTTTCGCGCATTGGCAATCTTGACACATTGTAAGTTCTCCTCGACTTGTCGATTCATCTCATTGCAAGTTCATCGACAATTAACCTTAACCTTCGCTTTACATTCGAAAAAAAAGGGACCTTTCGAATAACAGAATCAGTGGCTATATGCCGGCTTCTCTCGGCGACTTGGAGCATCTCCTCAAGCTGTGAGTAATTAGTTTTCGAACATTAAAACTCCATGTTTAATCTTCTCATTCGGTCGATATATATACATATATATATATATCGAGCAGGAATTTGAGCAACAACAATCTGATCGGATTCGTGCCTGCAGAGTTCGGTAACTTGAGAAGCGTCATGGAGATGTGAGCAACTAAAAATCTGTTCTAACGATCAGTTCGATTTATGATCTTACTGATATTTCCGTCTTCTTCTGCAGCGATCTTTCGAATAACCATCTTTCGGGGCAGATTCCTCGTGAACTCAATCAGCTTCAAAATCTCGTGCTACTGTAAGTAGTCGACAGTTCGTAATTAAACAGAAATACCCTCTGATTTTCTACCGATTGAAAGTATTATATTTTCGAATTATCGATAGAAAGCTGGAGAAAAACAATATCTCCGGGGATGTAATGTCGCTCGCCAGCTGCCTGAGCCTTACTGCGCTGTACGTTTTCGAACTTACATTTCACTTGTAATGCGTCGAGGCTGCTGTTAACGTCTTTTTGGGCTTTCGCGCGCAGGAATGTGTCGTATAACAATCTTGTTGGCTACGTTCCTTCGGGTAACAACTTCTCCCGGTTCTCGCCAGACAGGTATCGTCGCAGTCGTGATTTCGAGATTTATTTTTCTAGTTTTTCACCTCTTTTTTGGGATTGTCGTTTCGCTTTCAGCTTCTTGGGAAATCCGAGTCTTTGCGGGTACTGGAATACGTCTTGCGACGCACCTCGTCCAGCCGTACACTGTGAGCTTTCGATGATCGTAAAACTGTTTTTCTGCCTACATTGTCGATTCTGATAAAGATGAAAACTTTGTTCATTTGCGCAGTTGCGATACCGAAAGCAGCTATAATGGGAATCGCCCTCGGCGCGCTCGTGATTCTTTTAATGATATTAGTTGCAGCTTGCCGGCCGCAAAACCCGAAACCGTTTATGGACAGTCCACTCGACAAACCAGGTGTGTCGCGATTACGATAATTTTTTTGAATAGTCCGAGCTTCTTACTCGCGTTTCTTCTTCGATATGCAGTCAGCTACTCGGCGCCGAAGCTCGTGATCCTTCACATGAACATGGCGCTCCATGTTTACGACGACATTATGAGGATGACCGAGAATCTTAGCGACAAGTACATAATCGGGTATGGAGCGTCGAGCGCGGTTTATAAATGCGTTCTCAAGAACTGCAAGCCAGTTGCGATCAAGAAGCTCTATTCTCAGTACCCGCATTGTATTAAAGAGTTTGAGACTGAGCTCGCCACAGTCGGGAGCATCAAACATCGCAATCTTGTCAGCCTCCAAGCGTACTCCCTTTCGCCGTACGGAAATCTTTTGTTCTACGACTACATGGAAAACGGAAGCCTTTGGGATGTCCTTCACGGTACGTTCGCGTTCTTTGTTTCTTCTATAATGCATTTGCGCGGTATTCGGGATTAGAGTTCTTAAACGAATCGAGCTATTTGTGAACTTGACTCGAATTGGTTCGGTTTAAGCTCGTTTACGAATATAAACAAGGTGAGACGAGCAATATTCGAGTCTCTCATTGTTCTCGATTAGAGCTGTTAAATGAACTAAGCTGTTTGTGAACTTGACTCGGTTTGGTTCGACTTAAGCTTGTTTACGAATATAAACGAGGTGAGACAAGCAATATTCAAGTCTTATTGTTCTCGATTAGAGCTGTTAGACGAACCTAGCTGTTTGTGAACTTGACTCGGTTTGGTTCGATTTAAGCTCGTCTACGAATATAAACAAGGTGAGACGAGCAATATTTGAGTCTCATTGTTCTCGATTAGAGCTGTTAAACGAATTACGCTATTAGTGAACTTGACTTCGGTTTAAGCTCGTCTACGAATATAAACGAGGTGAGACGAGTAATATTCGAGTTTCATTGCTCTAGATTAGAGCTGTTAAACGAACCGAGCTGTTTGTGAGCTTGACTCGATTCGGCTCCGTTTAAGCTCGTTTATGAACATTAACGAGATGAGACGAGCAATGTTCGAGTTCCATTGTTCTCATTTGTTGTTGTTCATTTGCAAGATTCGTATGTTTGGTGTATTAAGTTTAATTTTTTAGGTGAGACGGTAATTTATTTCGAGATTTACCACTGGTTTCAGGAAGCAGCAAGAAGAAAAAGCTCGACTGGGAGACCCGGCTAAAAATAGCGCTTGGCGCGGCGCAAGGGCTCGCGTATTTGCACCATGATTGCAGCCCCCGGATAATCCACCGCGACGTGAAGTCGTCGAACATCTTACTCGACAAAGACTACGAAGCCCATCTCACCGACTTCGGGATCGCCAAGAGCCTATGCGCGTCGAAAACCCACACGTTGACGTACATAATGGGAACCATCGGATACATCGACCCCGAATACGCGCGCACGTCGCGTCTCACCGAGAAATCGGACGTCTACAGCTACGGCATTGTTCTTCTCGAGCTGCTCACCGGAAGGAAAGCCGTCGACAACGAATGCAACCTTCATCATCTGGTCTGTCTTCGTATCGGAATCGAACACATTCTTTTAATTACAACACCTAATCGTCGTCGCCGTCGCGACTTATTTACTTATTACACTACCCGGCGGCGCAGATATTGACGAAGGCGGCGAACGGCGCGGTGATGGACACCGTCGACCCGGAAATTTCCGAGACGTGCAAAGATCTCGGGGAAGTGAAGAAGGTCTTCCAGCTTGCGCTGTTGTGCGCGAAACGACAGCCGTCGGATAGGCCTACGATGCACGAGGTGGTGCGCGTGCTCCGTACGCTCGTCCCGCCGCCGCCGGAGGCGGTGGTGGCGTTCAGCCACGGAAATGCAATTCCGGTGGCGCAGCTGGCGACGAGCGAAGGAGAGTGTTATATGGACGAATATGCGAATCTGAAGGCTCCGCATCACGTGAATTGCTCGTGCACGAGCACCTCCGACGCCCAGCTCTTCCTCAAATTCGGAGAGGTCATTTCACAGAACAGCGTTTGATGGCAGAATTCGAATGTAAAAACTCAAACTCGAATCTCTTTTAGGGATGTATAAATTGAATTTGTAGTCAGTGATTTATTTGATCTGTTTGCTGCTTGGAGATTTGTAAATTGCAATTATTTGTGCGTTTCATATCAGTTACTCCATATAATAGGACGGCAAGTACCATCGTTCAGCGGCGGCGCCGCCGGCCGGAAAATTGAGGATCTGAGCACCAGACCTGCCACCACCGCTGCGAACACACCGGCAATGTAGGACAACCGCCAGCATCATCCGACTGTTTAGACCATCTCCAAGGAAATACTATTTTCTCCCGAGCTATATTCTATTTTTGCAGTGCTAGGTAAATTAATATATTTTCGATCATATATTTTTTGAGAGTTGAATTATTTTTTTATATACATATATTTTATAAAAAAATTTAAGTAACATTCAATATTTTACTCTGTTCCCTGGTCTTGCAATTTCTGTCATCCTACACACCTCATGTGAATTTCTTTTTAAAAAAATTATAGTAGCACATTATATTTTTAATTTTAAGCAGACTAATAAATTATTTTAATTTAATATATAAAATAAAAAAAATATATACTTTTGAGTAAGACAAATATGGCATAAACAAAAGAAATTGTACTATAAGATAATTATTTTTACTAATATATTTTTAATTATTTATTAATTATATTTTTTATAAATTTTTGTAAATTTTTTGTATATACTAGTCTTTACTTTTTCTTTTGTTTACTATTCAACTTTCACTATTCAATATGTCATTTCTAGTCTCACAGTATATCAAAAAATTATTTAAATCAAATCTAAATCACAAAAATAAGTTGAAAGACAGAGTAAAGAAATGTACCAAAATCTGTGAGCTTGCAAAGGCCATGCGATAGCTTTTCCTCTGCTCTAAGCTGAGTTAAAGAACCGAATGTATTTGTTTGTAAGCACAGATCAAAAGGCTTGGCGAAAAAACCACGATGCCATTGCGCATTTAACGCAAATTTCTTCCTGGTACAAGTACGATTAATGTTCTAACATTCAACGGTTATGTCTTCTCAGCATAATTACATCATGGTAGCTGTAAAACCACACGAGAGAATTAAGCTAACATCACCTTCTGGCCGTGTTTCATCCTGGAATCATTTCAGTTTAGATTTCGCGGAGCTCTTCAGAGGCTTCACAACAGGTTGAGTCGGGGCGGTGCCGCCTCTGGCTACCTTTTTAAGATCATATTTTACTGACAAGAAAGAACAGGCCAATGCCACCAACATTGTCGGGTAAACAAATACTGCAGTTGCTGGATCGGTGTTAACTGGCTTTCCAAGAATCCCTTCTTTGACGAGACCCCAGATAACTAGAAGTGTCCCGAACATGCTCATCCTCCCGGCTTTTAAAAGACCAATTAGAGAGCCAGCCACACAGAAGTAACTTCCAGCCAGAACCTGCTCCAAACAATCGTAAAATTCGAGTTCCAGTAAAATCCGTTGTGAAGGAATGGTGAGAAGTTAACTATTTAAGAACTCCACAAGTTGTTATTTTTCATATTACGGCAAGCAAACAGAATTAACCATGTTTATCTAGAAATAATACAATAGCATGGGATTATGACTTTTAAATCAGTATCGTAAGAAACAGATGCATTAACAAGTTCACGGCCATCCATATAAAACAAAAAGTATCAAAATTTAAACAAGTTTTGGTAGTATATTAGGTCAAGTATCAAATTAGTAGAAAATTCACAGCAGGGAAAAGATTCGCAAGATAAGATAGATAGGAAATGGAAGGGAAAAACCTCCAAGCGTTGCAGGTCTACTACAGCAGAAGCTTCTTTTATGTCGGTCAAATTGTAGATATTCAGCAAGTTATCCCAGCTTGGAACAGTCATATTATTAATGAGGCCATTTACAAAAGCTCCCGGATAAAGTAGCGCCTTAACCACTGGAAGGGGGAAGACCTCACTAGATATCAACTGAGAAGATGTAACCTGAATAGGCGACGTGCATACGCCAGATCTGCACTGAATTCTGAGGAATATACCAAAAAATACAGGAACAAAAGGTTGATGTGTTAGGATAATATGCTATTATGATTTATGGCAATAACCATGGCGGTCAATCGACGAAATTAGATTGCATATATGAAGATGAAACACTGTGAAGCACAAGGTATATGAAAACAAAACATATCAGTATTATCCTTTAGGTTAGGGGATACTGAGGTGCTCAAACACTGGTATTTGTCGAATTTAACACATCATGGAATTCTCATGATCCAACTCCATGAAGTAGCAATTCTAGCAGTCAGCTCTTCCCAAAAATGAATAATGTAATTTTAAACAGAAAATCTTCGAAGGTAACCTAAATGATGCAGTCGAACACATAAGTTAAGTAACAATGAAATCACTACATAGCCCAGTGAATTGCTTAAGAACAACAAATCTAGTCCAATACAACAAGATCTATCCGAATTAAACCAATTTCCGAATCAAGTGCGATATCCGTCAAATTAAAACCTAGAAAATACAGAATTAAGATTCCTTTGAAGCACCGGATTCGTAGAGATCACCCAGATGCTTAAACACAAAAATAAGAAACAACTGAATCATAATCGGCCTTACCAATACCTACTACCACTGCAGTAACACGTATAATTGAAATGCAAAATAAAAACTAAAAAATTCGTAAGCGGCGATAGTCTCCCTGAAAAATTGATTACCTAAAAAGAGGCACCTGAAGAAGGATGAGGAAGAAATACGCGCGACAAGCGTATTTTGATAGGTTGGACCACTTCCCCTTCGCTGCCATTGCAGATGTGCAACTCGGCTGATGGTAGAGAGAGGTGAGAGGGATGATATATGCGCTTTTAGAAAGCGTGCCAGACTGGTGAAACCGCTTTTTGGTATTTTATATCCCAAACTTCCTCTTCAGATTACCGCCAGACAAAAGACATTTTTATTTTTTTTATTTTCAGCAAATAAATAACACGGCCGTATTTGTAACAAACACGCCCGTCTTTTTGCAGAAACACCTGTTAAAATTTTGGAACTGGCAATTCAAGTCAGCCCAACACCTTTTGTCTTGGGCTGACCCTGCCTGATTTTAGAATGGCCCGATTTAAAATCATGTAATTTAAATAATAGTCGTTAATAATAAATTTTACGTAATTTTTTTTTATTAAAAAATATTTTAAAGTTTATATCCAATTTTTCCATGCTATATCATTTGGTAAATTATATCACACTTATTGTGTTTTTAGTAAAAATGCGTGCGTGTTTTATTTATTATTCGTAAAATTCCCTTGTATTGATGTAAAGTTTGTATAAAATATTATTTTTTTTTCGGAAACTTATGTTTGATTTTAAATAAAGACACAAATAAAAACAAAATATTTTAAATATTTTTTTTTGAATAAAATAAATAAATAAATGATCAATAGTTTATTTTTATAGTTTTTATAAAAAAACAGATAACAATTTATCTTCAAAAATTATAAAATAAAGGATTAATCAAGTATTTATTTATTTATTTTATTTTTAAAAAATTATTTAAGATATTTTATGTTTTTTATTTGTATAAAATATGTATAATTTAGATTTTTATTTAGAACCAAATATAATTTTGAAAAAAAGAAAAAGAAATTCGTGCATTAACGCAAGGAATTTTACATGATAAATAAAATAAAGGGTGTTTTGTGTATTAGGGTGTTATATATTTTTCAGTTCGTATCTATTTCTTTAGTTAAAACGTGAGTCTTTTTCATGCAAATATAATGATAAAAGGAAGTAAATTTGATTTCACAGTTACATACTATTATATATATATATAATTTTTGGAATTAATTAATTCATTCTCTGTGACAGTATCAGAGGCAGCCATGGATGAAGCTGCAGATCTGCTCCTGCAGCAGAAACGTTGCTTCAGACTCAGGATTCCACACATGGAACACGTGCTGTTCTCCCATGGCTTCCACAACCCTCACTTTCTCCACTCCCTTCTTCCTCAGGAACTCCGCGTACATCACCCCTCTTTCCTTAAGAAAATCCCCCTCCGCCACGAACACCATAACCGCCGGAAAATCCCTCCACTCCGCCGCCGCCGGAAAAGCCCTCTTTTCAAAATTACAGCCATCGTAGTCGCGATCCGATCCCTCCGGCAAGCTCAGCTTCCAGAACATATCGTTCATCGCCACTTCTTCCGCCGACGCCGCCGCCTGCTCCAGCTCCGTCCGCGCTCGGCTCCCGAAGTACGGATGGATCGGAATCAGCCCTCCGATTACCACGCCGGGAACATTTTCTCCGGCGATTAGGGTTTTCACGGCCAATTGATGAACTATATTCCCGCCTGCGCTGTCGCCGGAGAGGAAGACGCGGCTGAGATCGGCTTGCTTCAGCCATGGCTCCTGGCTCGAGCCGAGCCACCGGAGGGCGGCGTAGCAGTCGTCGTAGGCTGCCGGGAGCTTATTTTCCGGCGCCAGCCGGTAATCAACGGAGAGTACGATAGCCTTGGCGACGGCGGATAATCCGGCGAGGAAATTGTGGTACCCGACCCAGGAAGTGGATCCGATGCAGAATCCGCCGCCGTGGAAGTAAACGACGAGGGGAAGTTTACGGGGAGAGGCGGAGACGTCGGGGAAGAAGATTCTGGCGGTGATGGGCTTTGAGGAATCGATTATTACATCCTTGGACTTGTATTTAAAGGTGGGGGTGGTGGAGGAGACGACGCCGGACCATTCTGCGGAGGCGGAGGCGGGTACTGTCTGGGGAGCGAAGCGTTTGACGGTGCCATTAGAGAAGACTTGAATGAAGCCTGGGGCCTCTGCAACTAAGGACATGTTGAAGATGGAATGATCAATATTGATGGAATTAATCTGGAATGTGGGATATGGGATTTAGTCTTGAATATATATATATATATATATATATATAAATAGGTAGTTGTTATTAAGGATGTTGGAATTTGGACATGAGTTTGGTTAATGGCTGGTTGATCATGTCGTGTGGAACCACAGTTTTTAAGCTGTGGTTGTTGGGGGACTGATTGGCCATGCATTTAGACTATGACGATGATTATTACCAATTTTCATTTGAACACGACTTTTAATGAATATGGAGTATTAGTTTGAATTGAATACTGCGTTTTGATTAATATAATATTATACTCCCATCGACTCAATCTCTCTGTCCATTTGCTTTTTGTATAGAGTTTTAAAAATATTAGTATTATATTGGGATAAAGTAGAAATAAAGGTAAAAAGACTAAATTAATCCTATTAGTATTGTATGATATAAAGGTAATGGCATCTGTGTAATATATTGTAAATTAGAAGGGTATTTGTAATGTTAGGTAGATAGTACAATTACTTAAAAAAAAAAAAAAACTAATACTTTGTTATAGGACGGACCAAAATAAAAAAAATAGATAGATTCTTAAGCGATCGGATGGAATATTAGTTTACTTTGATCATTTAGGCGTGTTTGTCCAACCCAGATTTAGGCTGAATTCCTGTGCAAATAAAGTAATCCAGCCCAATTCTGGCTGAGGAGTTTGGAGGGACAGTTGTTCGTGTCTGTTTCTTTCTTTTTTATATATACTTTTTAAAAATATAAATATAAAAAAATATAATAATTATAATTTAATAAAATATATAAAATATATATTATTTTTAGAGAATAAAATTTTTTATAATACAAATAAATAAAAATTTAAAAATATATATGTAGATATAATATAAAATTATAATTAAACTATACAAATTAATACACATTTATATTATTATATTTATAATCATCAAATCAATACACATAAAAATTCCTCAAACTTCAACCAAATCTAAACACAAAATAAACATTAAAACTCAGATTCAAACTCATCTCAAAATTCAAATAAAAATCAAACTCAAATCCAAATTTTCCCAAATCCCCATAAAGAAATACACCCTTAGACTAATCAATTCAATGCTTTATTTTTGTTAGACTAAAATATACGTACTTTCACTCGAGAATATATTATGATATAAAATCAATGAGTTCAACGTAAAAATTCACCCGTGTAAAGAGAATAAATGTATTATTCAAGAGTTATAAGTTGAGATACAACAATATAATGACATCATTTATTCGAATATCTAATGTGACCAAAAGCATACAATTCCATTGTTTTAATTAATTAATTCATACTAGTCACACAATTTTCAACAAGAAAGGTGATGAAATGGTGGTACTATGTGATAATACATGTACAATCAAGCTATCAAAACATTGAGTTGTGCATGGAAGATCGAAACACATACGGGTGCGAACTGGTACATATAACGTGCCAGTTAAGATCAACTAGCTAATATAATGACAAAGTGAGTAAAATTATCAATTATGTAGAAATCTATGTTTGATCTATTGAGGGGTAGGTTATATATATATATATATATATATAGAAGGAGAGTCCAACCGCTTGAGCTACACTCCCTCCACAAGTAGACAATATGTCGAGACAAAAGCAAAAAATCCAACTATCACAACTTGGGTAGACAAACCTCACGAAAAAAGAAAATATGGAAGATCATGTATGTCTGTATCTCGTGACAATACTTATGAGGCTCCGACGATGGAATGCAAAAGAAAAGTCGAAGACTGTCCTGAAGTGCACACCTGGTTTGCAAGAAAGTCAGTGGCGTCCCTAAGGAAAAGCCCGATTATGGAAAGGATTTCGAGCAAACCCCAATGAAGAGTGCAAGAGTAAATTAAACGGATACCAGTAGTTCAGGATCATCATTTTCATGGAGTAATTTATGAATAATTAGGTTAATTTGTGAATTAATTCTAATATTTATGATTTTTTATTATATAAAAATGGTTTTTGAAATTTAATTTGAAGTATAATTAGGTTATTAAATAATAATTTGAGCAAAAAATTCCTTTCAAAATTAACATAGGAAAGATAAGCATTGACATGAGAAATAGTAAAAGAGAACAAAAATATCATTTCCTCTGAAGATAAGCTAAAACTAAGATACAACTATCATTAGAGAATTTCTTATATTATTTTTATAATTTTTTTAAAAAGTATGGCTTCAAAATACTATTAAAATACAAATATAAATACAAACCTAAAACACTTCAAATCCCGTATATTGGTATATATATTTTTAGGGAAATGAATATGAAGATAATCCATAATAAATAGGCTTTATTTATTTATATTTTTATTAATAAAATTCTCAATATATATATATATATATAATATATATTTTATTGTCTTACCAAAAAAATTAACATTCAATATAAAATATACATTTCATAACAAAATATATTAAACTAAAAAAATTAAAACCAACACACATTTCACAAATGACAGTCCATTTTTTTTTTGTTATAATGATAATTATTTACGATTTTTATTCATTTAATCTTGTATTTAAAAAATATTTGATTTTTTCTTTTTCTTTTCCCTAATAATACTAAGGGTCTGATTTTCATTTCTTTGTTATTATTATTTCAATCTCATTGGAATTGTCTCAATTTTTAATTTCTTTTTTTTTTTAAATAGCAAATTAATAAATAATAGGATTACGTTAGCGAGTGAATTTATTCAAGATGGAAAAATCATCCTTAGATTTATTTATAGTGTGTGATGGTGTTTTAGTAAATAAAAGTATATATATATATTTATAATTAAATAGGAGCTACAAAATATATATGTATAAATTTATTGAGGTGAGACAATTGTAAATTAAAAATTAAAATTGCTTAGGTGGAACAAAAGAGTACTATTATACATTTAACATGAAAATTTTTTGAAATTACCGTATTTACACGACAATACGTTTATTCTAAGAGTATGTCCAATCGATACTATAATTGGAGAATTCCTCCATTATTAAAGTAAAATATATTTCAATCGGTGTCAACTTCCTCCTCCATTTTTGGAGAAATGCTTTGGAGAAAGATGTATATTCCTCCAAAAGTGGAGCAATATATTTTTATTATTATATATTGATCCTTTAATTTTGTTGTTGTTATAGTATTAGGTATTTTTAATTTTTTTTTAATATTTTGTATTATTTTATAAATTATAAATTAGATATAAATATTCATATTGCAAAAAATATGTATTTTATAAATTGTAAATTAGATATAAATATTCATATTGCAAAAAATATATATTTTATTAATAAAATATTACATAATATAAAATTAAAATAAAATACAAGTACAAATATATATTTTTTTAATATAATTGTGATTTTATCATAATTTTTAAAAAATCAGATATGAGAGAGATCAAATTGTTTATTTGATACGTGAATATATATATATATATATATCAATATATAAATTTCATTTTAATTAGTTTAATATGTATATAAATAATCTTGAATGGAAGAACTCAAATCTATGTTAAGTGATGATGTATAGTTTGAATTATACAATTCAAGCTAAAAATTAGATAATTATTTATATTAAATAATTATTTAATATAAAGAATATTTTTTAAAATAATTATATTAATTATTTAACATATGAAGTTATTATATTAGTTAAACTATACAATTCAAGCTAAAAAAATTAGATAATTATTTATATTAATCTATTTAATTACTGATAAATATTATTTTTGTATTTTTGCACACAACATAGTAATACATCACTCTATATAGGTGCAAGAATTGCTTATCAAGTCATCAAGCAATGCTCATCATATTTAATGAGTCACAACTTTACATAATACAAAGATCAAATATTTAAATTTACAATAAAAATGAATCATAAACCAATATTTATTATGTTCAAAACCAGATCATAGGGAATCTTCTTATTTTCTTTAATTATTCAACTTTCATAATTTTTAGGCAAAACAATACAAAACTCACATAATTTCATAAAATTGCATCAAATTTTTCATTCTTATAAAATTGCGTTAAATTCTCTCATGATTTCATAAAGTCTACCTCTGACCGTTCTTATGTAACAGTGTTTAATTTGCATATGCCTTAACTATAAATGAATTTCAAAATCTCTATTCATGAACTTTGGAATTACAAATATACATATTCATCTTATATTCAACATTAACAAATAGTACAAAATTACTTAGAACCATAGGGAAGTATTTGATTCGAGAATATACCAAACCCCAACCTATCCAAATCAAATTCAATTTCAATTGAGCTCTTTTGGGTTCAATTTGTTCACCCTGGTTCAATAAACAGGAACCCTAATCCATCCATGAAGCAGTGGCATAAAAATTTATATATGCCTACCTAAAGTCTCCATATATTCAAAAAGATTCAGTGACCATTCTTTCTCTTTCTTTCCCGCTTTCGTTCTCTGTATTTTAGAAATTTTTTATATTCTTCACTCAATTTGGGTTTGAGCGAAGTTTTGAGGGTCGTTAGAAGAAGAGTTGGAGGAGGAAGGTTTGGGGAAATTGAAAACTCTAGAATTTTTTATTTTTTATTTTTTTTTTGTGGACTGTAATGAAAGAATAGAAGAAAATATATAATATTGTTTTTTTTTTTTTCCCTGCGTGTAGAGTTATTGATGAAGGTGTGGTGTTATGGTTTTTGATTGACTAGACTCATGGAATATTAGGCCTTTCTTATCTGTAACATTTGATTTTTACAATTGTGTATCATTAACAAAAGTTCTTAATCAAAAATTGAAGGTTGGGTTGTCGATGTTTGGTGTTGATGGAAGCGATGGTGGGAATACATAGTGTAGATACAAATTTCCGAGGAATGATTCATACGTTTCTATTATGTAGATTTGTGTGGAGTTGTGCCTTTGTGGTTCTTAGGTTTATGTTGTTTTTGGATAACTTGATTACTTGCTATAGAATTGTTTGATGCTCGTCGGAGGAATGAAATATCAGTGTGGAAGAAGTAGCTAAATGTA